ATCAACATATTAAAATAGGATTTTGGTGTATCTGAAATTAATACACTCCGACATCCGGTTTGACTGATCACTATTACAGTTGGCACATATCTGAATTTTCATGGAGTAGGTTTTTATGCTATCTAATTTCCTGCAACTCGCACCGAGATGGCGTTGCAGGACATCAACTTTACCTAACCGTTCGCCATGTAATTTGGTATACACAGGTAAGGTACGGTCTGCCAGGTTTTGCTAGTTAAATATTAAAATTAATTAAATTGTAATTTAAATGTTGAAGTAAGTCAAGGATTTCAGGAATTATGAGAAATTGACAAAACCTACTATATATGTATATATATATATATATATATATATATATATATATATATATATATATATATATACTACATAAATCTTTGATATCACAAAATAATTGATGGTTGAAATATTGAATTCCTTTTCATAGCTGTAAAGCTATTATCTAAACCATTTACAGTTAAATATTTACGAGCAGGGGAGAAACGTTCGCTAATGCAGTGAAACTGACCTCCGCGGAAGGATAATCGACGGAAACCAGTTAGTTTATTATCATAGTAGAACAACCGGCGATAGTAGAAATAGATACTGTAATCCGTAGGCACCTATAGCTATTCTCGATTAATATTCAATTTTTTTTACAAGAAAAAAATGTAAATGCTTTGTCACTACTTAGGACTAAGATGGAATGCCTCGTAACCAGTTCAAATGTTTTACGTCTTTCTACATTTACCATCATACATAGCAGCTTAAAATGTGATTCACGCTTTATTTTGTGAGAGCGTGGTTCTTAATCAGTCGAGCTGAACCATTCGTGCTGAAGTCATAATAAAGCTGCAGCGTGGCTTTACCACGTTAAAATGTTGCTGAGTTTCACATGGAACGTCAAGATAAACAGACACCTTTTAATTCATAACAAAGCATTTCAGGCGTCTGTGGGCCACAGCGTCCACTTATCATCAGGTAAACTGTGTGCTTGTTTATCACCTTTATTCTATGAAAAATTAAGAACAGATCTTTTTGTGATGTCATAAGATGTCACTAAGTTATTCTTGTGTGGCAGAGCCATACTGCATCGAAAAAAGATATATAATTCATAACAAGGTTCATAGATTCGAATACTCTACAATTTTAAATTAGAATAGTAATAAACATGATGTCTTATTTTATTTACTATAAACCATTTATATAAAATAACCGACAATCCGCTCGTGCGTATAGTAGCCTCCGAAGTGAAAACGACTTTCGTCTCAAGTATGCTGCGTCGGGTCCAGGAATCAAACCTGTATCTCTTTAAGGGACTGTTACGTCACATCTGTAAACCATTTAGGATGCGGAATCAGAGTGAATTTGTTTACGGTATTAATTACTTTCCCTGTAACCGGGCAGAGATAGACAAGTTTTTTTAATACGTTGCAAATGCAAATTTTATTCTAGATTTGATTCGGTACACAAGCATTCTCCAAGGAATGCCACAAAGCTCGGACCTGAGCCACCTGCATCCATCGATTTCTTGCAGTTCAATACTCTATCACTCTAAGTTGGGGGGGGCGAGGCTCGAAAACCTTTCTTCCCTATCTACGAACTGACTACGGTTGAGACTACGGACTTTCATTTGGTACGATCCAATAATGATATAACAATGATTTAGTAGTTGAATATATTGTGAGAATATATTTAAATATGTCACAGTTAACATTGCAATAGTAACATTATTTAAGAGTTAACAGTGCGAGTCAGTTACGTTATTTACGAGCCGGTTGCATAAAATTACGTAACCATAACTGCAAGTTAGCGTTGAAACTTTTAACCTTAATAATCGTTTATTCCTATGATACGTACGGGTGTTTTTTACAGGCCCAATATAACATTGTAAATCATAGTAAAGAAAGCGACTCTTCTAGACGATTTGGAGCTGTGTCAAATTAAACCTTAAAGCAATTTATAGATAAAAGAAACCCCCTCTTTGATGTCAGGGTTTCGTTGTTGGCTGCCCGAATTTCTTCGACCAAGCAATATCTTAGCTTATAACTTTATATTATGGAATGGATATTGGAAGAATTGTGACAAAAAGTAAGAAAAAGTCCAATCAACTTTAAAATTGCAGTTTATCAGGGGCGTTAACAAAACAAAGCAAATTACAAATATAAGGCTATTGCTGAAGAAATGTAGTAACGCAAGCAAGTACTTTTCTTCAGCAATATTATACAATATGGTAATAAACAGAATTCATTAATTTTTCTATGTTTGAAAAAAATATGGATTCTATTTATTACTCTGTTATAAGAGCTTTGTAAAATATAATTAAATATATTTTGCGTGACATTTTTTATAGGATATGGTGACAATCACTTCAGAGTCCTCCTGATGGTGAGTGGTTGCTGTGGCCCATAGACATCTACATCTATCCTCGATTAAGAATCAAAACGCAGATGCGTTGTTACCCATGAGGACTTAGATGGAATGGCTCGTTTCCAGTAAAGAGGGTCTCCGGTTCTTTACACTCACCATATGAAACACAGCAGCATTAAGCTATTATATTACGCTGGTATTCTGTGAGAGTGTGGCCCTTCCCCGGTCGATTCAACCCATTCATACTACAACTATACTACTAATATAACTGCAGAAATGCTCTACAACGTATAAAAGTTACCCCGTATAGTTGAGTTATCCCGTTAATTTGCTTTTAATCGTCACACTAGGATAGTGTATTGATTGACGATCGCAGTATGTCAGTAGACATATAATGTATATTATATGTCTGCTTACTTATGGGGATAGTTACTATTGGGTATACTTACTGTTATTGGAGCCCATTAAATTATTCTAGCATTTCCCCACAGTTACCTATTACAAAATTGACAGGATGACATCGGGTGATTGATTCTCCAACGCCGCAACAGACGACAAGCATATCTAGGCTATAACTTTATTGAATGATAAAATATATAGAACTAACGGGTGTAGACACTTCATAATTTGTAACGGACTCTGTTCCAAAGTGAAGTCCTGCATATTCATAACGTGAATGAGTTTTGAAATGGTTTCTAGCTCAGTGGTAACGGTCACTCGTTGGTGGTCAATTAAATTAGTTTGAGCGACGGGATGTAGTGACCTGAATGTTTAATACTCAACGATTCCTGGTAGTAGAGTACAAGGAGGGACGTTTGTTATTGTTATTTAACACATTTGAGTTTACCAAGTATTTTACATTAACAAGTTGAAGAACAGATTAATATTTTCTAAGTGTAGAGTGGACAAGTAAACTCACAATATAGTAGAACCTAAAAATATTTTTAAGCTTTAAATACTTGAAACAAACACAAGCTTGTAATGCCAGTTACTCGAACCTACCGAATTAATAATTCATTTATGGTGCAATCTATACCTTTTCCCAGTAAATGTGCAATGCTTGTCAACCAACAGTTTTAAAATGTTTACTCAACAAAAACCATATTGAAAGGGTAAATATAATATGAACAAACTATAAAATGTATTTTCATTCATATATATATATATATATATATATATATATATATATATATATGTTACTACTGGGAATGACCTGATCGCAACTCAGCGGATTCTATGATAATTAATTTAGCAATTGTGTGTATTGTATAGTAATTGTATATATTTAAAAAATAACAATCCGACTGTGCTCGGTAGAAAATAATAGCGTTTTGTGCCACATAGTTTCTAGCTGTTTTCCCAGGAAGAGGGCATAATAATGACCTCTAGATCGTATTTCGACCAGTCAATCTAAAGTAAGTTATGACATGGTCGGAAAAGGATAAGGGTCAAAGACTTTACGTGCTTTCTGAGGCACGGTGGTGCATTACTCGATGATGGGGTTGAAATAATGAGATAAATTCTTGTCTTCGGGCTTCTATTGGGAATTGATTGAATTAACCCATAATTCTTTCATTCGGTCTAGTGATCGCAAGCCCGTCTGTTGAGACTTCATGATCAACAGCCGGGCTTGCGATCACTAGACAAAAAAGCGGTCTAGGTGCGACCTGAAAGGTCCACACGACTGATTTTCCAGTGGAAAGAATAAAAAAATATCATATGTTTCAATATTTTATACAATTTTTCATTCGGCACAAAAAACGGTTTGACCGATTTTGCTCAAAATTCAATGATGTCTAAGTTCATAATTATGCGTTATATGAAACTGGTCCCATGTCAATATTACTCTTTGTTCTCGAGATACACGAAGCGAAAATTGAATTCGAATATACATACTTACATGTGCACACACGGAAATCCTCTTAAAAACCATACTATTCGACTCTAAAGACTTTGAAACGTGGAGATATGTAAAAATTTCCAATTTGCAAAATTGGGCCCATTACAATAACTTCCCAATGGGAAGTTAAAAAGACAGTCAAATTAAAAATAAAATATAAAAATATCTTAAATTGTGTGACATTTTTATAAACTTCGTCACTATGCAGTGTAAGAAAATTTATGACTCATCGGATACTGTCACTGGCGGCGACGATGGGAAAACCAGAAAGATCTCACAGCTTTCGACAGATGGTGGTCCAACAAACCCATCGAGCCTATAAAAGTTAATTTTCAGCAGTGACCTTTTAAGATTTTTATAATTAAATTAATCTATATAATTATATTTATATTACAATAAAATGAATTTATTATTGAAAATTTTCAAAACTGGATTAATTAGCAGAAAGTTTTATATCGACTAAACATATCAAAAGTCTACTTGTGAACATAGACCTCCTGCATACATTGCCTCATAGGAGATTTCTCCTATTTTCCATTATGTCCTCGGTTGGAAAGCGGTTTGGCAAACGCAGTTCGTTACTTTTATTCAGCTGTTCTCTGGGGATGATGCTGCTGCCCATCTTCTGATTCAATTTCCTTCTCTCGTCTCTTACGACCCACATCGATAATATGGGGTTGTGCATATTCTTACACCGCCACTACACGCTTAACGGATTACTTGTTGTTTTAAAATGTCAAAGGTACCTTGAGTTGTTGCAGTAACTGTATTTTTTTAAATTATATATCTTGTTAAGGAATAGAGTGAATGGGGCACTACACTCTATTATGAAGAACCAGAATTTGTCAAAACAGGCACGTATGGTAATTCATAATGCTGTGTTAGTCCCTACTTTAATGTATGGTAGTGAAAGCTGGGTGTGGCAGAAGAAGCACGAAAGTAGAATAAATGCTGTAGAAATGCGGTCTTTAAGGAATATGCTAGGGTGTAGTCTGAATGACAGGGTGAGAAATTGCGTGATAAGAGATAAATGTGGTATGCAAGATGATGTTGTGACCAGGATTAAGAAAGGAATGCTTCGGTGGTTTGGTCACGTAGAAAGAATGAATGAGGAAAGAGTGACAAAGCAAATTTATATGGCAGATGTGAATGGCCGAGTCGGGAAGGGACGCCCTAGGAAAAAGTTTATCGACCAAATTGGCGATATTTTGAAAATGGGCCACGTTAGAAGTACCCTTAACCGACGAGCATGTATGCGTAGATATATGGATGTAAAGGAGGCGAAAGAGGTATGTCAGGATCGTGCCAAATGGAAGTCCGTAGTCTCTGCCTACCCCTCTGGGTAACAGGCGTGAGTGTTTATGTTATGTTATGTTATGTTTAAAATCATTTACTTTCAAATTTTGAATTGGAGAAAAAACTTCACTTAATTATTTACTTTAAGTGTTTGTGTCTGATTAAAGCCTATATATCACTAACCCTAAGAATCAAAATTGATATTAGTACTTTCAGGGCTGTGTAGGTCAACCGGCTAGGTTCCGGTTTATGTGACGTAACCGGCACGGCATAAATACCAAGCATATACGTAATAAGAATTGCCTAAAAGACTGTAAGGCGCTGCATTACAAGTTGTATTGAAATTTAATTATCATTAAATACTATTTGCCGTGTAGTGGCGGTTAAGAATATCCACTACCCCATATCTTCCCGTGGGTGTCGTAAGAGGCGACAGAGGGAGACAGGCAGGAGATGGGCAGCAGCGTCTTCCTGATGACAACTGTGACGTAATAAAAAACTGCGGTTGCCAACCCGCTCGCCAAGCGTGGCAACTATGGCAAATAACCCCCCAATGAATAAATACACAAACAGACGGCCCCCAGTCCCCGGCGGCCCCGCTATTCCTGGCTACGGTGGCGACCATGGTAACGGCGGGGCAGGGGGTGCTAAGAATCTCCGGTGGAGGTTCGGTTGCCACCTACGACGACTCGACCTGGCAACATATAACGCACGCACCCTGAGGACTGACGAGAAGATACTGGAGCTGGAAGAAGAGGTAGACAAGTTGCGCTGGCATATTATTGGATTATCCGAGGTCCGAAGAGAGGGGGAGGACACGGCAATCCTCGAGTCCGGCAACTTGTTCTATCACCGGGAGGGCGACCATCTGTCCCAAGGAGGTGTCGGATTTATCGTCCACAAATCTCTCGTCAACAACGTTGTAAAGATTGGGAGTGTGTCGACGAGGGTCGCGTACCTGATACTCAGAATCACCAAACGGTATTCGCTGAAGGTCATTCAGGTTTACGCACCAACCTCGGCACATCCCGATGAGGAGGTGGAGGAAATGTATGAGGATATTTCCAGAGCCATACATTCCTCCAAAACCTACTACACGGTGTTGATGGGAGACTTCAACGCAAAACTGGGCACAAGAGAAAGCGGTGAGCTGAAGGTAGGGAAATTTGGAGTAGGGCAACGGAACCGAAGGGGCCAGCAGCTGGCCGACTTTATGGAGAAAGAGGGACTCTTTATGATGAACTCTTTCTTCCAGAAGCGGCCCCACAGGAAGTGGACCTGGTCGAGCCCCGACGGTTCGACAAAAAATGAGATTGACTTCATTATGACGACCAGACGCCAACTGTCCAGTGATGTCTCAGTGATCGCAAGGGTGAAAACTGGCAGCGATCACCGAATGGTTAGAGGCACACTGAACCTAAACGTTAAGTTGGAGAGGTCTCGTCTAATGAAGTCAACGCTCCGTCCCCCTCGTGCTCTAATCCAGAATCCCGAAACCTTTCAGCTCGAGTTACGTAACCGCTTCCAGTGCCTAGAAGATTGCAATGCAGTGGACGATATGAACGACAAGCTCGTGGAAACTGTCCATGCGGTCGGAGCTAAGTTCTGCAAGACCCGCCGCAGAAGAACACAAAAACTCTCCGATCACACTCTTAATCTCATGGCTGTTAGACGGGAGATGAGGCTGCAATCGTCAACAGATTTGACAGCATACAGGCAACTGTCTGTGTCTGTCTGTTCAGATCTCCAAATGCATACGGCGGGACTTACGCAACTTTAATACTTCTCGTATTAAAGAAGCGATCGAGCGGAACCAGGGCTCCAAAGTCTTTGCCAGAGATCTGTCTGCCAGAAAGAGCCAACTGTCAAGGCTGAAGACTGAGTGTGGCAACATTGTTTCCGGAACACCTGAGATTTTGAGTGAGATTGAGAGGTTCTATGGGCAGCTGTACACATCATCGTTGGAGCCACACGCAAGTGTGAGTAACGATCCAAGAGCAAGTCTTATCCGACACTATTCCGATGATATCCCGGACGTCAGTCTAAGCGAGATTAGAATGGCTCTCCAGCACCTTAAAAACGGCAGGGCCCCAGGCGAGGATGGAATTACAGCGGAGCTTCTGAAAGCGGGTGGAACACCGGTACTTGAAGTCCTTCAGAAGCTCTTCAATTCCGTCCTCCATGGTGGCACTACTCCAGAGGCGTGGAGCAGAAGTGCGGTGGTCTTGTTCTTTAAGAAAGGCGACAACGCTCTCTTAAAGAACTACAGACCGATTTCCCTTCTGAGCCGCGTCTACGTGCTGTTTTCGAGAGTCATTACGAATCGTCTCGCACGCAGACTTGACGACTTCCAGCCTCCCGAACAAGCCGGTTTCCGAAAAGGCTTCAGTACCATAGACCACATACATACCCTGCGGCAGATTGTACAGAAGACTAAAGAGTACAATCTGCCACTTTGCCTGGCGTATGTGGACTATGAGAAAGCCTTTGATTCCGTCGAAATTTGGGCGGTGCTACAGTCCCTTCAGCGGTGCCAAGTTGACTGTCGGTATATCGAAGTGCTGAAGTGTTTGTACAGTAGGGCTACGATGGCTATCCGAGTACAGAACCAGAGCTCGAAACCTATCCAACTGCAGAGAGGTGTAAGACAGGGTGACGTTATATCCCCGAAACTCTTCACCGCTGCATTGGAAGACGTTTTCAAGCTACTGGACTGGAAAGGATACGGTATTGACATCAATGGCGAGTACATCACTCACCTTCGATTTGCCGACGATATAGTCCTTATGGCAGAATCGCTGGAGGACTTAAGCACTATGCTCAATGACCTCAATAGTGCCTCCCAACGGATAGATCTTAAGATGAACATGGACAAAACAAAGATCATGTTCAATGTCCATGTCACACCTATGCCGGTAGTTGTTGGGAGCACTATGCTCGAAGTTGTTGACGAATACGTTTACCTGGGACAAATAGTCCGACTAGGTAAGTCCAACTTCGACCGAGAGGTCAATCGACGGATTCAACTCGGCTGGGCAGCGTTCGGGAAATTACGGCATATCTTTTCGTCAGGTATACCTCAATCTCTAAAAACTAGATTGTACAACCAGTGCGTGTTGCCAGTGATGACTTACGGATCTGAGACGTGGTCCTTCACTGCTGGCCGTATGAGGACGCTTAAGGTCGCTCAGCGAGCTATGGAGAGGGCTATGCTCGGAGTTTCTCTGCGTGATAGACTCAGAAATGAGGATATCCGCAGTAAAACCAGAGTGACCGACATAGCCCAACGGATTAGTAAGCTGAAGTGGCAATGGGCCGGCCATATAGCTCGAAGAACCGATAACCGATGGGGAAGAAAGGTTCTCGAGTGGCAGCCTCGTACCGGTAGGCGTAGTGTAGGGCGACCCCCCACTAGATGGAGTGACGACCTGGTAAGACATGCAGGAAGTCGATGGATGCAGGTGGCTCAGGACCGTGCTTTGTGGCATTACTTGGGGGAGGCCTATGTTCAGCAGTGGACTTGTGAAGGGCTGTAATGATGATGATGAAATACTATTTGGATTTAAGTACTAATATAAATATCCTCTGAGCATAAATAACGTAGTCATACGACTAAACAGTAAGCGAACTGTGGGGTAGCTCTCAATTAGGTTGAGGAGGGATGCAGGATCGTGCTTTGTGGCGTTGCTTGATGGGTGGCTTATGTTTAGTATGGTTATTGACACCTTGTCTGATATTTACGTCGACCTTGTACGTCGTTACAATAAAACTATACATACCATATATCAAAACTAATTACTAAAAACGAGATTGATTATTTGATTTAAGTCTTTATGATAATAAGGAAAGAAGGAAAATAATAATTATTTTCTTTCTTAATTAATTAATTATTAATATTAAATAAAAGTATGATAAAACAAACAACTATAAAGGTTACTCACCATCAGGTGGACTGTGTGTTCGTTTGGCACCCTCATCTTATAAAAAGAATCGCATTCCGAAGTCAGTGCATGCTAAGACATATTGCATAGAGGAATTATTACCCCGACTTCAGAATGTGAAATTATTTTGTTTCTTTTAGTTCTTTGCAGAATGCACTTAATAATATCACAATGTTAATATTCTCTAAATATTAATTCTCAATTTTGCCACTCTAATGAGTAGAATGTTTTTCTCAAATTTATCGAATAAAACATAAGAGAATAGAATAATTTTTTATTCAAAAAAAAAATGGCAAAAAGCCTCTGTCCTGGCAAGAACCAGCAAGAAACCCAGCGGGATTTTAAAAAAATAGACATTTTTTACTACTTATATTTGACATAATTAGTATGAAAATATTAAGAATCAGCAAAGTAACCAGCCGGGGGTTTTACATCAGACCATCCTTGCAGAATACCCTATTTAATAATACAAGAATCATCAAAATAGGTTCATAATTAACGAAAATATTACATTGCATAAAAAAAGGAACATACTATCTAACTATTAACCTCGTCGTTTTATTAAAGTCAGCTAAAAAGTGATAGGTGTCTTCAGTAAGATGTTGGGAGCTTATGAAGTCAATGCTGCTAGAAATGGACTTACATATACTGTGAAAAAAGACGAATTATATATTGTTTTAGGTCCTTGCAAAATGTCCCAATAATACAACATGGTCCTTAGGCCCTACCATGAGGCACTAGTTAGAGCGATCTTCTGCGTCACGATCTAGTTACTGTCAGCCACCATGCAATGTGCTTATATATTTTACTGTGGCAACTTTCATTATATCAGTAGGTGCATTAAGGACAAAAAATATTTTTTTTTAAATTCTGAGTGGGTTATGAAGCAACTTGTTCGATATATATTGCGGTCCAGTATATATTGGAAGATTTTACTTGTCCTCGAAGTATGACATGACATGTAGATTGCCCCATGATGTACATATAGATTCCTTAGCCGCTGAGCACGTAGTATATAAGAATTTGTTATTAACAATTTCATTAGTGCTAGGGGATTGAATTTGGTATGGTATGAAATTTACGGCTAGTCCTTAACTTTTTGCTACCACGTATTAAGTTAAAGTGAAATTAATATCTCCTTTTTTATTTACAGGGAGTCACAACATGGGTACCATTAGTGTTGGCTGTCATCACATTCGCAACTCCAGGTAATAATAATTAAGTTCCTTATAATTTATTATATATTTTTACCAATAAAAGATGAATTTAAAGTTTCTTCGTAGTTCCAAAGTCCTACTCCATGAACAGAGAAAGATGTGTATCATAAAATGTAGAGGGGTGCACAACACATTGGAGGGAATTTTTCGTACGTAATCTGTCCCAAGCTGTAACGTGGCTCCACGAAAAATTACATTATATAATCTTACGTGGAGCCGTGTTGCAGCTACGTTATTGTTCCCACACGAAAGGCCTCTACCGAGGAAGGATCATACTCTCACAGAATATCAGCGTAAAATAGCACTAATACTGTTGTATTTTATATGGTGAGTGTAGAGAACGGTACGAGTAGACCATTTTTACTGGTAAAAAGCCACAGGGGTAAAAACGTGTCTATATTTTATTAGCCCTCTCCAAAGCCGGCTTTGAAGTAATTAATAAATAATAATTATTCATCAACGATGAAAAAGATTTCTTCATTACGTAATGGTTTTAACTTCAGGCAGATAGGCTTCACTTTGATTATTTTGATTACTTATAAGAATCTAAGTTTTATATGTATTTAAGTTGTTAATTTCATTTTCATAGAACGCAGATAGCGATAAAAAAAATTTTACTACTACCCTCGAAGAATTTCTTAAGTCTAGAGATTACAATTCGTATAAGTTGTAGAATAAAATGAAAATAGAAGTGAAGAATATTGAATAAGTATTCTTAACTCCTCGAAAAGACTACGATAGCTCATTTGATACTTTAAATGCAGTTGAATACATTTCTTAGTTTGAGAAGTCTTTTGTACGTTTACACAATGGTTGAACATTTGTTTGATTACATCTGTATAGTGCAAGGACTGAAATGGGAGTGTACGTAGTCTCCATGACATAGTATGGAAACGTAGACAGAGAAACCTATAGACAAATTGATGCCTTCTTTCGTATTCGCACACGAAAACGATAGATTTATGCAACGTCTTGCATAGAAATGAGAAAGAGCGGTGTGATTGTTCCTCCCTTTCTCCGTGCCGGTTTTTTTATTTAGCAAACTCCACTTTGCTAAACAACTTTGACAGTTCGTGGCAATCTAAGGAGTTTACAAGTTGGTTTAAGTGAGAAAAAAGTGTTTTGTGAGCTTAAGATTGGTGAATCTTGTTCAATTCAGTTCTTAGAACAGTTAAATTTTTTATCTAAATATGTTTAAAAGTCATGAATATTATTTTATAACCTAAAACTACGTTATCGTCCTTTCTCACTCGAGGCCACGCTAATCATTAGTCTATAGGTTTCTCTGTCTACGTATAGAAACTGTGTACAGACTGATTTTATATATTATCTATGGTATAGTAGCGAAATAAAATGTGTTTAAGATATTTTAGAATGTTGTATCCATTTTAGTTTGTATAGTGTTTTTAATAAGGATTTTCTGTATGTATAGTGGAGGCGTTTCACATACTCTTATAAACTATTATTTTTTATTTATTTATCTTATGTATTTTATTTCCATGTATTCTATATGTGCATCATCACAAGGTAGACTGGTAGAGAATGCCATAGGCATTACGTACTAAGAGTGTATATATAGAGTTTTAAATAAATAAAATTCACACGGACGAACATCCGGACTCTAAACAATTATTTTAATAAATAAAAGTCCACTGCTTAACAAGGCCAGCCGATAGATTGCCTTATACGATGGATATTTGTCGTAGGAACGATAGAGTAAAAACAATTATTTTTAAGCTGGTTCAGGCTGGTTATAACTACACAGAAAAAGTTTTTCATCACTTATTCTGTGCAAAATTTTAACCCGCGGCTCAGCATTCACATCATAACGCTTAATTTATTAGAATACGGCGTGAGAATATCTACTACTGCATATTATACTGTGGGTATCGTAAGACGCGATAGAGGAAAACTAAAACAGGAAATAGGTAGCAGATTCTTCCTGATAACAACAAAAAATAATAAAACACGGCAATGGGAAACTAACTTTTAAATTTTCTTTTAACGTGGCAACTGTTGTATTATCCCCTATATGAGATAATCTATGGGGGGGGGACCTTGTTATAAATTGCGACAGTAGCCTAATGGCAGGGCGCGACCGCGAACGAAAAAGCTCGTGGGTTCGAGTCCACCATTCGACTACTGGCGTGAACCACTCGTAACACAAGCAATTTAAGCTTACCATGAGTGGTTAAAGGGAATATTAGTAATGTTTATAGCATTGTTAATATTGTTTTTGTGGTAGAGCCATGATGCAGTTATATTAGTAGTATAGTTGTATCACGAATGGGTCGGCTCGACCGGGGAAGGACCACGCTCTCACAGAATACCAGCGTGAAATAGTAGCTTAATGCTGCTGTATTTCATATGGTGAGTGTAGAGAACCGGAGACCCTTTTTACTGGAAACGAGGCATTCCATCTTAGTCCTCACGGGTGACAACGCATCTGCATTTTGATTCGCAATCGAGGATAGATGTAGATGTCTATGGGCCGCAGCAACCACTTACCATCAGGTGGACTGTGTGCTCGTTTGTCACCCTATAAAAAACAATAAAAAAAAAATAGTTATGAGTACGAGGATTATATGCGAAAGGGTTCCCGTGGCCCTTTCCATAAACGTGGAATACCGTGGAGTTATAATCTATCCGCATCTGATATAACTTACCTAATGTCACAAGGCTGTGCGTAGGCATTTCCCATAGAAAAGCATAAACGAAAATATTATCTGACAGTCTGACAGGTAGTTACTCTGTGTAAATTATGAGGCCAACGCACCGACCGGTGGGCGACGATCTCTGACAATGGTGCATTGTTTGAAATTCACTTTGTTTTTCTATAAAGCGTAGGTTAACCTTCGTGTTTGGACTTTTTTACTTTTCATATGAAGCGGTAAGGGTTTTATACCCTTAATTTACGCAATGAGTGAAAATGTAAGTTAAGTGAACGATGTTTTTGTCCCAGATTGTATTTTATGTCAAGGGGATATGAATATATTTTAGTATTTAGTATTTTTCATTAATATCTTAAAAATACTTCTACGTTATTTGTACCGTGTAGTGGCGTGTAAAAAATCCACTATCCCATATCATTACGTGGGAGCCAAATTAAAAATAGCAGCAGCGTCTTTCTAATAACAAATAAAAAAACTGCTGTTGCCAAGCCGCTTGCCAGGTGTGGTAACTATAGCAAATAGACCTCGATGTGGCAATCTATAGGGGAGGCCTATGTTCAGCAGTGGACTTAAATAGGCTGCAACGGTAACCTTATTAGATGAGTTTTATCATACCTTTCGTTTCTGTATGTTTGTAATTTTTACAAATGCAAACTGCTTCAAATACAATATTATGCTTACCAGTGCAATTCACATCCTACAAAATAAGTTACATGGGGTCGATAAAAATTGTCTTCAATGCTTTCAGGATACGCATATTGACTATCGTGTTATGTAAGTTATGACAGTCAAAAACTGTAAAAATAATGACAATATTAGTAGTAATAAATGTAGAAAATTTACGTATGTAAAAGTATAATTATACTTATAGAAACTCGTTTATGTCTTTTGTTCGTGTCTCGTTAGTAACTTTTATACGGCCTACGCTCAGTAACTTACATGAATTATAAATGGTAATCGTTTGGCCATGTGTCAACATACTATATACGTCTGCTTTTATTATATCATATAAGACTATATATCATCATATAAGACTTTAATACCTTTAAATATAATTTTTTGGTAAATGTAATGTAAATTAAAAATGTTAATTTTATTATTGAAAAGAATAAACTTATCGAAGTCCAATCGAGTAAACTTATCGAAGTCCATAGATAAAATTTTAGATTAATAATCGCATATAGCAGAAAACAATTGTTAACTACTTTTAATTACTTTGATGATTTTTTTTGAGTATATTAAGATAAACAATTTATTTTATTCAGGACTTGCTTACAGCCTACTTTAACCCAAATTATTTTGATAATAATGCTCTTATTCAATATGGTGGCTATATATGTTCTCGGCGGTGTCGCGAAGAACTAACGAAAATTTCTCCTACATCATATGTACGCAATCCTTGAAGAGAACGAATCCTAATCCTTTTTTATAGACCAAAGTTAACAAACGAGTATACACTTATTAACCTAATAGTAAGTGAATGCTGTGGTCCATAGACATCTAAATCTATTCTCGAATAAGAATCGATAGGAATGTAGATGTGTTAACCTTACCTGATGACTAAGAAGAAATGCTTCATGTCCAGCAACTAGCTGCTATTTTATGCTGTTATTCTGTGATGATACGTTATGAAGCCCAAGATGGTAAATTTTACTTCCTAAGCGTAACAAAAGCCTATCATTTTTTGCCTTGACAACGCAAACAGTTTAGTCTAAATGCCTGGAATGTCGACAACAAAAGTTGGTGACCACCAAACGTTTGTAAGTCCAACAGTGAAAATGGAAGAAAGGATTTAAATTATGTAATTTTAATAAGAAGCTTAAATTGTGTACACTTTAATTTCTCATCTTAATACAATTTACCTCTCTTTTAGACTACAGTTCTACTTTATATATTGAAACTGGTTTCACAACATTGTTCAGTATGTTACTCGTTGTACATGAAGAATTAATTACATATTAAAATAAATGTTAAACTTTAAAAATAAAAATATTTTTCAATAGTTTTAAGTAACAGTATCTTAATGATTAAGGATACGGACTGTGAAACTAACAAGTTGTGGCTCCGCCATTCGACTACTGTCATGATTTACTCCTAGTACAAGCAATGTAAGCTTTTTTCAATAAAAGTTTGGCTGGCACTCGAGCACACAGGCCACCTCACGGTAAGGGACACGAAAAAGTTAGGTTAGGTTAGTTAGGTTAAAGTTACAGTCTATATGCTGGGTACAGGACTCTTCTCATTACTGAGAGGCTTTTTCCAAGGATATGGTAGTTCAGATGGTTACCGCTCGCTGTAAATTTCACAGAACGTGAGCAACCTGTGTTTGATGAAATTTGGAACTTGCCTCTTACATCATAAGAACTACAGCAGTATTATAAGTATTTACTTTTTTACGCTGGTATTTTGCGTCAGCGTAGTCCTTCCTTAGTCAGACCAATCCTACTGCATCAACTGCAGCTGTGAAGGTGGTGCTTAGTTGTAGTAGTTAATAATTTCTATTGTTACCGTTTTAATAGAATTGCTTCTTTTAAAGAATTCTTTGCATTCTTCTTGCATAGTTCCTGCACATGAAAACAATTTCTTTTATGTTCTATTAACATTAATTTATTGTTACAGCTCTATCAGCGCAACCCAGAGTGGTCTGCTATTATACAAATTGGTCGGTGTACCGGCCGGGCACAGCGCGCTTCAACCCTCAGAATATTAATCCCTACCTCTGCACGCACTTGGTGTATGCGTTTGGTGGCTTCACTAAAGACAACACTCTCAAACCTTTTGACAAGTATCAGGATATTGAAAAAGGTGAGTGTAGAGTAAACATTCTATGATTTGACCCTAATCAATTTCAAAAGTAATTTATTAAATCGCTAACTGAAGATAAAAATGTTTGATTATAAAAGATCAGATTTTCTAAAAGGTTTTACAATCTTATATTTTAACAGTATTTTTATTTTTTTATATTTTAATTTAAGGTTAGGGCATCTATATGCGCGAAATTTTACTAGAACTCGAAAGGAGATCGAAAATTAGGCACTTATTGTACCCTTTTGAAAGTTTTGGCTATTTTTTGAATACCTTTATTATATCTTCCCCTGATATAGACAATACTTTGGTTATTAGATCAAGATTTGTGTTCTAAATTAATTAAATATGAAAAGAAGTCGGAGGCACTTTATTCCGATGTAATAATCCTTATTCCGATGTATTTGGTTCCTAATTCCATGTGTACAAAATGCAAAGGAAAAAGGTGTTCATTATCCTACAAACAAAATAATTATAATTTAAAAATTATGAGGAATCATCCCCGTGGATACCTATATATAGACCTAACAAGTTCATTTAATTAATAATAATGTAATTAATTAATTGGTATTATTGACCAATTTTAATAACCAACCTGGTAAGACATGCAAGAAGTCAATGGATGCAAGTGGCTCAGGACCGTGCTTTGTCACATTTCTTGGGGAAGGCCTATGTTCAAAAGTGAACTTGTGAAGGGCTGTAATGATGAATGATGAAGTTTGTGAAATTTGTTATAAATAAGATAGGAACCCATGCGTTTTTGAAACTAAAAGAATGTGGATAGCTAGCTATGTAAAACTCTGAATACTCTGGATTTTGCGTGTGTATATGCCATGGAATAAGATGCTCATAGAACTTTATCCGGACCTACTACATGTGACTAGCGTTTCACACCAAAAAATCTCGTTAACTAATTCTGAGTATTATAAAATTCAAGATTTTTGCTTAATTTTTGTATAGATTAATAGTTAATTATAAAATCTTTGTTAATATAATATTTGCTAAAAATTACATCGAAATGTGCCATCGAAATTTTCCTTCTTTCCTTTCCAATACAATGAATTAACAAAATAACTAAATAAATCATCTTTGACACGTTATAATTAGTGTTTGAGACACAAAGGTATACTTCGGAAATTTATTTTCTTCTTAAATTGTCGAACCCAAAGCGGGAAGGGCTTAATCATAAAAAAACAACCCTAAAAATAAATCAAGTATATAAAATCGCTATTCCGCGGTATACATTAGAATGGAATAGAAATGCCGCGGTATTTTCAATGCATATTTTCAGCTTGATTTATTCAGAAAAACATATAAAAGTTAAGTGTTTGTGATTAAAAATATATTTTTTTAAATAGTTTAACTCCAATAATTTGAAGAAAAAAAAACGTGGTCTTTTCTTGTACAAGGTCCAAAATGTATAAAGCATGGGTTTAGACAAGCTGCTGATGGAAAACCTACAAATTATTTAAAAACGCATATACATTACTCCATGATGAGACGTGGTAGCTCGGATGGTTAACGCTCGCTGTAAATATAACAGAACACGAATAACTCGGGTTCGATCCCCGCCGGCATCAATGAAATTGTTAATTGCAATTTTAAGTGCTGATTTACCACGTGCTCGGCGGTGAAGGAAAACATCGTGAGGAAACCTACATGTCTGAGAAATAAGAAAAAAAATATATCTTCGAAATATTTTTTCCTTATTTCTAATAAGTTCGCCAACACGCATTGGGGCAGCGCGGCGGATACTTCCTTGCCCTAAAACCCTCTCAGAAATGAGGGGAGGCCTGTACCCAGCAGTGGAACGTATATAGGCTGTTACTTTACTTTACTTTATATATTACTCCAGGCCTAGGAAGATATGACTACGCAAAGTTATATTATCAATCGAATAAGAGATCTGCAGTAAAATAAAGCTTGTTAATCACTCGTAAACACAGTTTTTCTAAATACCTCGGAATACGGTGCCACTTTTAAAACTCAGAACTGAATCAGAAGCTTTTACCTTAATATTACTTAATGTGTCCTTAATAGACGTGATATTAAATTATAAATTGGAATAAATACGTCTACAATGTTCAGACTGTGAAACTAAACGTAGGTTGCAATCTGCCGTTCAAATACTTTCATAAACCGCTCATAGTACGAGTAGTTTCAGCTAAGTTAAAGTACTTAACGGAAATATTTAGTAGTAATGTTAATAGTCTTATAGTAGTAATCTAGTAAAATTTATTATTACTTAACCAAATTATTTGTGATAATGTTACGTATCGTTGATGTCTTTTATATGATCAATATAATGTTAAATTGAACGTTACGAAATAAAGTTATGTAAAAGATATAAATAGTACAAAAATCAATTAACTCGACCTGTTTTTATATTTGATCATAAGAATATTGTATTAAGTTAGAAAATTTTAAGTAATGCAATTAACATTTGTCATTTATTGCACAAAAAATATAAATATTTGTTTTTAATTTCCTTTCCTTAGGTGGCTATGCCAAATTCAATGGTTTAAAAACATACAATAAGAATTTGAAGACTTTATTGGCCATTGGAGGTTGGAACGAGGGCTCCAGCAGGTTCTCGCCTATGGTCGCTTCCAGGGACAGTCGGAAGGAGTTTGTAAGGAATACTATTAAGGTTAGTAACAAAATGCAATTTATTCTAATAAATTTTTAGTTTTTTCATAATTAGACAAATTAATATACGATAATATCAATAAAAATGGGATAAAATTAAAAAATATTCGAGACGTGTAATGCCAAATTTTGATAGAATTTCTTCTTGTTGCTATGGAGAGGCCAATTCATCAGGGGACTTTGATAAGTTTTAATGATGACGTTTAATTGATGACAAGGCGTACATATTTAGATATCAATTATATGATGGAGTTTGGAGATAGAGTCAAGTCTGGAATTATGTATGAAAGCTTAAATGACAACAAACTTATATTTATACTTTATATTGTATGAAAACTATTCTATTCTATTTCATTCTAAAAATTATACCATTCTATAAATAACGAAAAATATTAGAAGTTACCAAATTACCACTTGAATCACTATAGAGTAGTTGCATTTTTTTCCACAAATTTATATATAAATATAATAAAAATTCATTTAAAGTATATTTAAATATTTTTTATTTAAAATTTCATCTTTTTATTAATTATTAATAAAAAAATAGTAAAATTTTTGAATGAAAAGAAAAAACTATTTGTGTTCGGTTATGACATCCTTTGAGGCTGTGAGCCAATCGCAATCGTGCTATACTTTTGTTTTGTCTATATTCTGATAACCATGTGTCATAACAAAACGTATGTAACCTGTAATATGCAATGACATTTTATTTTTTATTTTGACAACATAAACATGTGTGTTTTATCATTTCATTAAAAAAATATGGTTGAAAAAAACATAACATTTTACAACGTGGTAAAGCCACACTGCAGCTACTATGGTTGTAGCATAAATGGGTCGGCTCAACCGGGGAATGAACACGTTCTCACAGAATACCAGCTTAATGCTGCTGTGTTTCGTATGGTGAGTGTAGAGAACCGGAGACCCGTTTTATTGGAATCGAGGCAATCCATCTTAGTCCTCAGGGGTACCGTCGCATCTGCATTTTGATTCTTAAGCAAGGTAAAAAATGTAGATTTCTATAGGCCACAGCATCAACTTGCCATCGGGTGGGCTGTGTGCTCGTTTGTCACCCTTATACTATAAAAAAACGTTTAATTGTAAAATTACAAAAAAATCATTAGTAAATATAGATTTAGAGTTCTTTTAAATTAAAAAACATGCAACTTCTCTATTACGTTAAACTGGAAGTGGTTCTTAAACTATGATCCCTGGACCACTGCATGATTGTCACTGAAAGCACCCAAAGTGGTCCGCAAGGATCATATAATTCTCTTATTTATAAAAAACGTTGTAAAACTTTTTTGGATATGATGTTCGGTTTCCGAATACTACTTTACATTTAAATAAAGAGTGTGTAATGATGTTATAAATCAACCTTACTATAATTTTTATAATATGTAAAAGTTGGTAGTCCATGTTTAGCCAAAAATTGATTAAATGGCCTTTTATCACTAAAAGGTTAGAAACCACTGCATTAAATGGACGATGCTTATAATAGACGTCTGAGAGAAGCATTTCCTACATCTGATAAGGCCTATAATAGAGGTCTGAGAGAAATATTTCCTACACCATATTATAAGTTAGTGAGCAACTTATATTTGTCGTTAGAAGGATGCATTTCTAATTCAATGTTATATTAAAATTCCATACAAATATAAACGGTTATAACCAGTTTACAAATATACTCTGTATGCAACCTGCACTCAGCGTACTTTCCCTCGTTATTCCAAATACCTGTGTGGATCTGGTTTAAAACAAACTTTATTCAACTTTTACTGCGATTTAAATGAGAGTTTAAATTTTAATCAATCATAAGACACTAATATTAACTAAACTAACTTAACTATCTTGAATTAAACAATTAAATAATGGTATTAATTATAATATAAACATAACCAGATTCATATTATTGGCCTATCACGGATATTAACTTATTATTAACATGTAATTAAATACTGTTTTAATATTATAACTACTACTACTATTGCAAATAATCAGACTACAGCTAAATATACGCTTATAGACTGCACAAAGTATCGTCCCAAGCCATTTGCATCCATATTATATTGCATCCTTAGTGTTTTTTAAAAACGACACAACGTTTACGCAAATAACGCATACTACATATTTTCACACTTCAAAAAGGCGAAATTAAGCTATCATTAATGATCTTATACACTACATGTAAATATACTCATGGTATGGTATGGTAGTCAACTTTATAAAAAAATCTCAAGTAATAATTTTTTTAAATGGGCAGATTGACATAAAAGTTTCCAGCGTATTGAATTTTTTAAATAAACAGTATGCTTATTTTTTATCTTAAGCACTATTTTTCCTTTGGTATTATACAATATAACAAAACAATATATGTACAGAGTAGTATTAAACTTAGAATTCAACCGATGATTTTTTTACAATGTTCGGATAAGATTGTTAATTTATTATTTGTTACTAAAATAAAATAATTTTAAAATTTTACTTCACAGTTTCTTAGACAAAACAACTTCGACGGACTCGACCTTGATTGGGAGTACCCGGCGGCCAGAGATGGTGGCAAACCGAAAGACCGTGAAAACTACGCCAAGCTCGTTAAGGAACTGAGAGAGGAGTTTGAGAGGGAATCAGAAAAAACCGGGAAACCACGCCTGTTACTCACCATGGCGGTACCGGCGGGTATCGAGAATATACAGAAGGGATATGACATTGAAACTTTGAACAAGTAAGTTCCATCACTCAAAACATAAATACTGCAAATACGATTATTTTAAGTTTTTAACACACGATAGAGCTACGCTGCGGATACATTATGGTTGTAGCACAAATAGAGCGGCTCGAAAGGGTAGGACCACGCTCTCACAAAATACTGTCAACCACCACCATTTACCATTTTACTGTAAACGCTTAGTTAGTATGGGTGACAACACATAAGTCGTTTGATTCTTAATCGAGAATAAATGTAGACGTCTATGGGTCCCCGTATCCACTTACAATTATGTGAACTGTGTGCTCGCTTGTTACCCTTATTCTATATAAAAAGTTGGTACGTGTAATAGCCTAAACTTCGGGCTCTTATCTTAGTTGGAGCTAAGTTTTTTTTATAGCATAAGTGTGATAAACAAGTACGCAGTCCACCTGATGATAAGTGATTGCTGTGGCCCATAGACATCTACTTCTATCCTCGATTATGTTTCAAAATGCAAATGGCTTGTCACCCGTGAGGATGGAATGCTTCATTTTTAGTAAAATGGGTCTACGGATCTCTATACTCACCATACGTAACACAGCAACATTGGGTTGCTATTTTGCGCTGGTATTCTGTGAGAGCGTGGTACTTCCCCAGTCGTGCCGACCCATCCGTGCTACAAGTATATTACTAATGCTGCATCATGGCTCTACCACGTAAAAGTTAAGTTGTGGCGATGTGGATTTCAACGATAATAGAGGACAGTTTGCACTATCTCTATATTCGATGTATTTATATCGCTCTAATCATATTGTTGAATTACATACCATAACACAGTATCACCCAAACCTAAGGATCGAACTACAATAAAGGCCACCAATAAAAGGCAATAGTTTCCATGTACACACGGTTCATTTGACGCTACTGCCTGTGGCAGGTCTTAGTATTTTACGTCTGGCGTAAACTGAGATGGATATAACGCCATCTATGAGAAACCAAATAAAGTAACAATTTTCTTGCATTTCCCATAGTTACCTTATGAGGTCACGGGTCAAAATGTAGTGATTTATACGTAGAGCTACGCTGCCGCCTGACTGGGGAATATCAGCCTAAAGTAGCAACCTAATATTGTCGTGTTTCAGTTGTAGAAACCCTAGAAATGAGGCATTCCGTCTAAGTCTAGCAGCTAAGGGTAGCAACGCATCTGCATTTTAATTCTTAATTGAAGATAGATGTAGGAGTCTATCGGACACAGCATACACTTACGATCAGTTGAACTGCGTGTTCGCTTGTCACCCTTATTATATAAAAAAATTAAATTAAATATTACGCTACTACCACATGGCAACATATGCGCGCACGGCACGGCATTAGTGGACAATTAGAATTTCAAGTATCTTGCACCTCAAGCTTCTAAGCTCGTCAAACTTCTTCGTGACCTTGGCGTGTTTTCACGATTAAATCAAACAGCTTGACACACGAAGTGACATTACACGTTCCGAACGACGTGAGCAACGTTCGTGCACTTCACACATACTTACAAGATCGATAAAACTAGCTTCTGCTACCACACTAGTTACCTAATTCCCTATTTTCAATGCCAAATTGCCAAATATTCAATATGTGGTACCATGCATTAGCGTACGGAATACGTAACTACATGTAATGAATACAACGGTTATGTCATCGGTGTTTTTTTACATAATTGGTGCTATACCTATATTAATAATCTGCATTTTTGGTTGGTAGACATTCCTTTTCTGCCCAGAGAAACCTACTTACCTATTAGAGACGTCAAATAACAGTGCCTGTATTCTTACTGAAACGTAAAGATATCTAGTATAGTTACAGGTTGTGAGGCATTCCATTTTAGTTCTCAGAGGTGATAACGCATTTATTGTCGGTTGCTGATATACATGGGGTGCAATATCTACTTACTACCAGGTGGACTATAAGTTCAGCTCTCACTTCAATTTTATAACAAAATATAGTGGACAATCCATCACTTCAGTTTTATTCCTAAATATAGTGGACAAACATGGACAAACACCCAGACACGAAACTGTAATTTGTAAGACAACCAAATAATTGTTTTGTTAAGTAATCGAACCCAAAGCTCACTGCAGCCAAAACCTTAACTACAGCAATACTGAGCCGTCACATCAGCAACATTAAAAATGTTTGAAAGGTGATTTTTTTATTTATGACTATTTTGTTTTGTTTTGTTATTTTAAAACACTCGTATTACATATTCAATGATTCATCATAATAATTATTACTGCCCTTCAGGAGTCTACTGCCTAGGCTACTAGGCGACGTAGTCCCCATAAATAATGCCATAAAACACCGTGTTCATCTCAGGCATTCCGGAAACGATGCTGCCATACTCGGTCTTTAGCTTTGACAGTTGGCTCTTTCTGGTAGACAGATCTCTTACAAAGACTTTGGAGCCTTTTTCAATACGAGCAGTATTAAAGTTGCGTAAGTTCCGCCACATGCATTTGTAGATAAGTCTGTTAAGTTGCCTGTATGCTGTCAAATCTCTTGAAGACTGTAGCTTCATTTCCCGTCTAACAGCCATGAGATTAAGAGTGTGATCGGGGAGTTTTTGTGTTCTTCTGCGGCGGGTCTTGTAGTACTTAGCTCCGATCGCATGGATAGTATCCACAAGCTTATCATTCATGTCTTCTACTGCATTGCAGACTTCTAGGCACTGAAAACGGGTTTTCAACTCAAGCTGAAAGGGTTGGGGACTTTGGATTATAGCACGAGGTGGACGGAGCGTTAACTTCATTAGACAAGACCTCTCCAACTTAAAGTCTAGGTTCTGTGTGTCTCTAACGCTGCCAGTTTCACCCTCACAATCACTGAGATATCACTGAACAGTTGCCGTCTAGTCGTCATAATGAAGTCATTCTCATTTTTTTTCGAACCGTTGGGGCACGACCAGGTCCATTTTCCGCTTTTGGAAAAAAGAGTCCATCATAAAGATTTCCTCTTTCTCCGTGAAGTTGGCCAGCTGCTGGCCCTTTGGGTTCCGTTTCACTATCCCAAATTTCCGTTCCCTTAATCTCACCATTCTCTCTTGTGCCTAGTTTTGCGTTGAAATCTCCCATTAACACCGTTTAGTGGGTTTTGGAGGAATGCATGGCTCTAGATATATCCTCATACATTTCCTCGACCTGCTCATCAGGATGTGCCAAGTTTGGTGCTTAAACCTGTGTGACCTACAGTGAATACCATTTGGTTATTCTGAGTATACATAAGGTACGCAACCCTCGTCGACACACTCCCAATCTTTACAACATTATTAACGAGAGACTTGTGGACGATAAACTCGACACCTCCTTGGGACAGATGGTCGCCCTCCCGGTGATAAAACAAATTGTCGGATTCGAGGATGACCGTGTCCTACCCCTCTCGTCGGACCTCAGATAATCCTTATAATATTCCAGTGCAACTTGTCTGTCTCTTCTTCCAGCTCCAGGATCTTCTCGTCTGTCCTCAGCGTACGTGCGTTGTATGTTGCTAGGTCGTGTCGTCTTAGGTGACAACCGAATCTCTACCGGAGATTCTTAGCACCCCTTGCCCCGCCGTTACCATGGTTGCCACCGTAGCCAGGAATAGCGGGGCCGCCGGGGACTGGGGCCGTTTATTTATGTCGTTACTCAGGGGGTAGGGGTATATTGCCATAGTTGCCACGCTTGGTGAGCGGGTTGGCAACCGCAGTTTTTTGTACTATTGCTGTTACCAGGAAAATGCTGCTGCACATCTTCTGCCTGTTTCCCTCTGGGCAGATATTGGGTGGTGAATATTCTTAACCGCCACTAAACGGCATTTCTTGCTACACAATAATATAACTGCATAGTGGCTCTACCACGTTAAAAGCTTCTTCAGGTTACTAAGTCATTGGGCTATGCCTAGCTATGCCATTTTAATAGCTATGATTCTACATATTCCTCGTACAATACTAAAGCTTTTTTATACGTATCGCGAAGGGGTTGGCTCGACCGTTGTAGGACCACGCTTTGACAGAATACCAGCCTAAAAAACTTTTATGCTGCTATGTTTCGTATGCTAAGTGTTGAGAACTGAAGAACCTTTTTCTGGAAAACGTGGGGTGAAACGGAGGGCCATGGCATCCACTTATCATAACGTGAACTGTGTGCTCATTTTTCACCCGTATTGAATAAAAAAGCCTTCATTATTTACAAGAACTCATAGTAGATTTAAACATTTTGTTACGGATTGTTTTTACATGCTAAGCCTATTAAAGTTTGTTCATTAGAATCAACGTGTGACTCATAATGAGCGTTAAGTCATAGCAATGATTGGCGATGTAGAAACCACTTGATGAATGTCCGCCGAGACAATGGACCTGTGGGGTCCTGAATACACAATAGCTAGGGCGCTAGGACCGTGATGACTCCGACCACGGCTCTGACTACACAGCGTGCACTCCGCTGTGTTTGTCAAATCTTATTTCGAAATAAATATAAATAAGAACATACATGTGTGTTAAGGACGACTATGTTATTTTAATTTGTAAAAGTAACACTAATCGTGAACAAATTATTGAGAAATTAAAACATAAATATTGAACGTCTGTACCTATAGAGGTGGCGCTGAAATTATGTAACTATGGATCAAAATAACTCTTTCGAATGTGCACTGCTATAGATTATATATAGATACAATATAGATTGCACCTATGCTTGTGCATACACTGATACACTGTAATCCTATCCTACACAAATGGTTAGTCTCCATTGAGACTATCCTCCGTAGTAAAAATTCGCTCTGGAGTAGGTACATTGTACATAGGGAATTTTGAGGATGAGAATGGTGATTGATAAACAACGTTATGCATTTTACTCTGTATTCATTCGCTAAACTCTGGTCATAATGTGTTGTAATATCGTGTTAAATATTTTAAGTCTTCGTACAACGCTCTGATTACTTTCAGTTTCGGAACAATATGACTAACTGTGCTCGTATGCGTGCATATACTTGTAAGAGTGCAAACAATTAACTATTGTTTCATTTTTCTATTCAAATTATTATTCAAATTTTCTCGGCTATTACGTAAGATGACTACATTATGGTTGCGTATTTATAACGCGATAATAATAAATATAAAATTTTATTAGTTCCACGTCTATTAATCTATGCAACGGAATCATTTAATGTGATTTTCATCAACTTGTAGACGGCCAATTTACTTGAAAATTTGCACTCGTATCAAGGACCAATGACAATTCAATAACTTTATCCTAATATCCTGATCAGGAATACCAAGATTAAATAAAATAATAACAGGATCATCACAGCTCATGATTAATGCTTGTTATTTAAGTTTTTTAAACTCTTATTTATATAAGAATTATTGATATAGCGTCACCTTTTTCTTCTTCTTGAATTTATCATCCTATAAAAGCGCGCTAGACCTGCTAGGCTTCTCTCATCGGACGTGAACTAGCGATCGCGAACGCGAACCAGTGAATAGCGAGTATTTGCTAGAAATTTCATCGCACTATTTCTCTCAGTGGTTACCGTGAGAGGAAAAATGCTCGTGGATATCGTGAAAATCTTTTATATGTAAAACTTAGCATTCAGTCAATAGGCAGTATAACCATCGAATTTTTATAGGATAGGGTGACGAGCACACAGTCCATCTGGTGGTAAGTGGTTGCTGTGGCTAATAGACATCTACATATATCCTTGACTACGAATCAAAATACAGATGCGTTGTCACCTGTGAGGACTAAGATGGAATGTTTCGTTTCCAGTAAAAAAGGTTTCCCGGTTTTTACACGCACCATACGAAACACAGCAGCATTAAGCTACTATTTTACGTTGGTATTCTGTGAGAGCGCAGTCCTTCCCGATCGAGCCGATCCATTCGTGCTACGACTATACTACTAATATAACTGCAACATGGCTCTACCACATAAAAAACCGTCAACCTATATAGTGACGACCTATGAGTCAACCTATGAGTGACCTATTTACCGTCATTGTATCATAAACCATAGGCCTCCTCATAAACTGCCGCTTCAGGATTAGTTGCTACGCTTGGTAGGTGGACTGGTAATCGCAGAATATGTAATATTTGGGGTTGTTATCAGGAAAACGCTGTTGCTCTTCTCCTGTTACATAAGCCCCTCTCAACTCTTGCAACAACACTTATCATGATAACTGAAAGTGGATTCTCTTAGCAAATGTTACACAATTGGCTTTATTGTAAACAAAAAAAACGTTTTTATTTCTGCTTAATTCACCGTAGTACATTTTAATTCTAATCTAAAGAAATAAAATATATTACTTATAAAAGATATATTTTAAAAATAGTTTCTCTATATCTTTTATACTACTTATAGGATTAAATATTCGTCACGTGTCGGAAGTTTTGCAATTAAGTCATTCATTAAAATGATTAAAACTTCTATAGTTTTTTACTTTGAGATATGTTTATCGAAAATTAAGTTATTTTTTGACCTTTGCTTTTTATATTCGATAAGAGATGTGGATTTGATTCAAGTCACCTTTAAATTCATAGGACGGAACCAACTTAAGTTTAGCTCCCAATGTCAACACCTATAAAAATTGTTTAAACAAAATTTGGTATGCGAAATTGCTAAGTTTTTTTTTAAATTATTTTATAGTATTTTTTTTAATTATTTTATTTTCAACTAAAAGTCTAAATGCATACGCGTTAGTCACCTCTGAGGATAATAGTCCTCAGGATGTGATAAACGTTGACAAACCTTGTTAGCATAAAAATTATAAATCAGTTTTCGTTACTCACCATACGAAAAGCATGATATTGCTATATTACGCTGGTAATCTGTATGACCATAGTCATTCTTCGGCTTAGACTACTTATTCGTGCTACAGCAGTAACACGATATAGCTTAGCTATAGCACGTTTAAGTTCAGTGCTTATAAAAATATTACATTAAAAGATTATTTGAAGTCCACTTCCCGTATTAGAGCAGTGAGAGAAACTCCGTAGTAAGAGAGCGGGTACTAGTAGACATGAGGGCTAATTATTTTTTCTATGAAACGTAAGTGACAAACAAAATCTAAAAAGCTTCAGACCAAACCCAGCAATGTGTGTGTGCATTGGTTTCACGTTAAAATCAACACATTGGTATTCGGATTTTTAACATTTTTTGTTATAAATTTAATGCTAAATGTATTAAATTTACAACAACAAATGTTAAAAATCCGAATACCATTGTGTTTTTAAATGGGGAAGAACTGTGTCCTGTTGAATCCTTTGTTTTTCTTGGCATCACTGTCGAGGCTAATTCAGTGGCTGCCATCTAAACTAGCAAGGCAAGGCAGGCAAGCTAGCTCTGTAGTTTATGCTATAAAAAAGATTAGAGATCTCGCTAGTGTCCAGACAGCTAGTTTAGTTTATTATTGTCATTTCCATAGCATAATGTCATATGGGATTTTGCTATGGGGAAATGCGGCTGATTTAGAAACTTTTTTGTTTTGCAAATAAGGCCATAAGAGTTATTTACACAACCTTAAACCGAGAGAATCTCTTAGAATTTTTTAAGAAATAAATATATTAACTTCGGCCTCTCAGTATATCTACGAAAATTTAATGTATGTTCACAAAAACACAGATAGTTTTAGTGATAGTTTACTTTAGCATTCGTTTAGTAAGTAATAGTTTTAGTAAAAAAAAGTGATACACTCTGTAAACACTAGGAAAAAAACACAAGCTAGTGATACCAGTTTCTCGACTCCATAGAATCAGTAATTCATTCTTGGGGCACTGTATACGCTATTACAACAAAGTCACAAAAATATACAAGGTCTCTCTATTACCAAGTTTAAATATTTAATTAAAAAAAAACTATATAAAAAGGGTTATTATAATATTAATGAATACATGGTTGATAAATAACTCCAGGGAATGAGATGGTCGCTTCCAATCTGTTTGTAAAATAAAAAGTCCCACTGGGTTTCTTGCTGGTTCTTCCCAGGACAGAGGTTTTTTTTCCGAACCAGTGATAAAGTAAAAATTATTTTCAATAAAAATTACAACATGTAATCTATATTAAATAAAAAAATATTCTATTCTATTCTAATGTATACACTGCTATTTATTGGCAGAAATAAATATGATATTTCTCTAGATTCCTGTATTTCTATTAATCGACACACAATTTAAACCGATATTCGCCTTTATCTTGCAGGTATTTGGACTGGATGAACCTCCTCTCATACGACTATCATTCGGCTTTTGAACCAGCGGTAAACCACCACGCCCCACTCTACCCACTTGAAGAACCTAATGAGTATAGCGTGGATAATGAACTCAATATCGTAAGTATAAAAGTCATTTTATCATGATTTCTCCAAATCTAGCTTATATCTTTTAAGAATTACAAATGAATATTAGTTAAATTGCGAACTACTATCTCTCCGTGTAGCCTGTCCATCCTGGTGGAACTTAAGAAACGACTTTACATTGTTTATAAGCTAGTGCTTGAAAATTTGTGGTGAAGTGGTGATGAAGCAGTAGATAGTGAATCTTACTGTGTAAGCGTAATTTTGAAAACACCCAGATTTTAATCGCATATTTCCTCCACTCCAAATTTCAAATAAAATACAAATAATAGATGATTGTCTTATTGTCGTAGATGACTAAAGAAAGGTCAGATTAAGTGGCAGCCGGAGCTGAAAAGTATCTCAAAAACTATTTCAAAAGGCACATCTAAATCTGCATGGTTTCAAAAATTGTGAATTCATGTAAATTTTTCGTAATTTTGGAGACCTATTTTTATAGTTTTAACGTGCTTGACAAAGTTTACGCGCTTACTTATGATTTTCGTAACGAATTTTAGCTTTATCAAATTTTTCTTTTCAGGATTATACAATTAAGTTTTATCTCGAGAACGGCGTAGACCGCGACAAGCTGGTACTAGGTATACCTACATACGGACGATCGTACACCCTCTTCAATCCTGATGCTGTAGAAATCGGTTCACCTGCGGATGGACCTGGGGAACAAGGAGACACGACCAGGGAGAAAGGATACTTATCTTACTTTGAGGTGAGAAAAATTTTAAGCAACATTTTTGATCTTAACTACTTAACTGTTCTACTTACTGGCAACTATCTCATCTTATTTCTTTATTTATCATTTATTTAGCAGAGTTTAAAATCTATTCACATTCCACAGCTTGGCACAGATCTTTTCTCATTTCTGAGTGGTCATATATACAGTTATCCTCATGATGTGTTCCTTAACCGACGAATAAGTAGTAAAAATCACTTAAAATTGCAATTAACAATTTCATTGATGCTCACGTACTGTGACATTTACAGCGAGCTTTTAGCAACTAAAGTTGTCCAAAGATACGCTAGTTTCTACGTGGTAGAGCCACGCTGCAACTATATTACGGATGTAGACAACGCTCTCACAAAATTTTAGCGCAAAATAGCTGCTTAATACTGGAGTGTTACGTATGGTTAGTGTAGAGAACCGCAAACCCTTTTTACATAAATCTAGGCATTTCATCTTAGTGCTCTCATCCGTATTTCGATTCTTAACTTAGGGTAAATATATATGTCTCTGGGTTACAGCATGCACGTTCCATTAGGGGACGGTGGGCTCGTTTGCCGCCTCATCCTATAAACAGTAATAGCTAGTATTCTTTAACACAGTGATGGTGATCGCATCCATATCTATTAATTAGTAAAAATTTCATGATTACACAGATGCAGATTAGATCCTGTATTATTTTATTTAATGACTATAAAAATAAACGTTTATTACTACAAATGTAGTTATTGGCAAATCGTAAACCAGTAAATAATTATATTCAACTAAGTAACATCAAAATAAAATAGATGTTTTAAAAAAGGCGATAGCGTAATTATTTCGTCATTTAAAAGAATGTTATGGAAATTCTAGAATTTTATCAAACTGGTTTTTCTGCTGACAAATTCCGCCAGTGGCCTTTATTATAAAATTAGCCAGTTAATAATATTCATCGACTATGAATATTATTAGCTGGCGGGCTTGATGTTTTTGAGATTTGCAAACGAAAAAGTTTTACTTAAATTGATAAAATGTTGATGTTTTTTTTCTCAGAAGCAATAAATACTAATTAATTCCCTATATGGATGGGTTTTAATGAGTTCGATTTTTGAGAGTCACACAGGGCGATAGGCAGCTTACTCTCCACCTAAAGATGAGTGTTTACTGCGACGCCCGTAAAAATACACTTGTTATCTAAAATGACGACGCATTGCCCTACTGAGGACTAGGATGAAATATCTCGTTATTAGTAAAAAGGATCTCAAGTTATCTACAGTCACAATACGAAACACAGCACCAATTTTAATACGTGGTAGTTCCATGCTGCAACAATATTATGGTTGTGATAATAATAGGTCGGCTCGACCGGGAAAAGATCACGTTCTGACGTACACTGATATACTACCAGTGTAAAATAGCAGCTTGATGCTGCATTGCTTCGTATGTTAAGTGTAGGGAATCGGAGACCCTTTTTACTGGAAAATAGGCTTTCCAACTTAGTCTTCAGGGGTTAAAATGCATTTGCATTTCGATTCCTACAAGCCACATCGTGTCTACTATGCATTCATTTGTCACCCTCATTATTTTAATGCTGCAGCATTATGGTGCTATTTTACGCTGAAACTCCTTGCGAGCGTTGTCCTCCTCCGGTTGAAGTGAGCCACGCGTGAGCCACAGATATAATACAGATGCGGCGTGACTGTTAATCCGATTCAACCGTTTCAAAAATGTCATAAACACTTGTTCCAAGAAATAAACCACAAGAAGAAGAAGATGTCTCCTTCTTCTTTTCCTTTAATCAGCCTGTTTAAAGACCGCTGCTGAACTTGGGTCTCTCCTGCTGTATCGTCACGCTTCGCAGGCCAGATTGAAAATCGTAGTACCGCTCTGGGTATATTACGTCTGATGTATACAGACCATTTTGTATACATCAGACGTTCACTGCTGGCCGTATGAGGACCCTCAAAGTTGCTCAGCGAGCTATAGAGAGGGCTATGTTCGGGGTTTCTATACGTGATAAACTTAGAAATTAGGATGTCCGCTGTAGAACCAGAGTGACCGACATAGCCTAACGGATTAGTATGCTGAAGTGGCAATGGGCTGGCCATATAGCTCGAAGAACCTACAACCGACGGGGGAAAAAGGTTCTCAAGTGGCAGTCTCGTACCGGCAGGTGTAGTGTAGGGTGACCCCCATTAGATGGAGTGGCGACCTGATAAGACATGCAGGAAATCGATGGATGCAGTTGGCTCAGGACCATGTTTTGTGGCATTCCTTGAGGGAGGCCTATGTTCAACAGTGGACTTGTGAAGGGCTGTAATGATGATAATGATGATGATGGTATACAAAATGTCTATGCCGTCATCTATTGTAAATCATAAGATTCTGTCATTTCCTATAGTCTTTCAACATCCTCACGATGAAAGGGAGTGATGGATTCTTATTCTAAGAACACTGTCTTTACTTCCCCGTTCATTCTGTCTTTAACTTGTCGCAACTTCAGGCAGTTAATTCAAAAATTCTAAAATTTTCAGATCTGTGATGCTCTGAAGCCTAAAGAAAAGAAACGCAGCATCAACTCGGAGTCCGAAGAATATTCCGATGAAGAGGAAGATGATGAGGAATGGACTGTAATGCACCCAAACCCTACCGCCATGGGACCTGTTGCTTACAAAGGAAACCAGTGGGTTGGTTATGACGATATCGACATCGTGAGGAAGAAAGCCGAATATGTCGCTGAGAATGGACTCGGAGGTGAATAGAATATATTTTTTAATATAAATTATAACATAATACTTATAAAAAATTAATTTTTTAAAGTCGATTGTTTATTTACTACTGTTGATGATAATGTGAGACTCTTGAGGTGACGTGAGACTTAGCTGACGGCTTGGTGGTGTTTGACGTGACGTGTGACTTACTTAATGGCTCCGTGGTGCAATAAGCTACAGCGATAAGAACTGCGGATTTGAATCTCGGACGCAACAAGTATTTATGAATGTCAATTTGCAATTTATGTATGTAAACTGTCTCCAAAATACATAAGAAAATCCAAGGATGAGAATAACTTTTACTTTTACTTAAAAATGTCTTGATTAAAGACCGAATGACTTAATTTTATTACAAGTAGGGATTACTACAGTGGCATAATATATGTGGCTCATACGAGTAGACACCTGCATCTAGATCAAAAGTTCCAATTCAAATTCGAGATTCAAAATTAAAATTAGAGTAACTCGTTATCATTACGTATACGTATCGTATACGCTTGAAGATACGGATCAATCACCATACGAATTATATAACGATGCTTCTCTTTAACGTGTAATGCGTTTACGTGTGAGTGTTCGTCCGAGCGAGTTCTTTCTTCGAGTAAGGCGAGCCTACATAGTTACTACTTCATAAAAAGGTATACCATCTTAACTTGACGTTTATATACTTAGTAGTTAATAGCAATCTTCTGCTGGATGCATCTGCCGAATACATCTGAAATTGATTGTAGCTTTTATTCTATTAACTTATCGGCCAGTGAAGAGAATAATGAAATTATTTGAGTACAGTAAGTACTTAAAGTAATTTTACTCCATTAAATGAATTTTTTCCTCGACAAAACTATGTTGTAACTTTGTAACTTCTTTTATAACTTAAGTAACTGCTGCAATCCACCAACACCTGTAACCAACTTCAAACAAAAAGTCCACAGATAGTTTATCAATCCTAAGGACTTCAATTAAATGCTAAGAAACCCAGTATAATCACGGCGACATCCTTTGAATATATAGCCTATATCTCTTACCGTTCAAACCGGAACACTGCAGCAATCTTACGACTCAGATTGTTGACTGAAATAGTTTCAGAATTGTACTTGACTTGATTTAACTGGACGGACTCCTAGACAAAATAGGAGCCTTACTGAACCTATTGGGTGTTGTAAATAATCACATTAGGTAATACGCTGCAATTCCTTGAGGACCTGGTCCACCTCCGGTTGATCTATTCGTGCTGCAGCTGGAATACACCAACCGTTTTAAAAGTATGTACACATGTTTAAAGAGATCCACCACAAGACGTGGTAGATCTCTTTAAACATGTGTGGTGATATAAGTGGTAGAGCTACGCTGCAGTTATATTATGGTTATAGCACGAATGGGTCGGCTCAGCCAAAGAAGTACCAAGCTCTCACAGAATACCAGTGCAAAATAGCAGTTTAATACTGCTGTGTTCCGTATTGTGAGTGTAGAGATCCGGAGACCGTTTTTTCCTAGAAACGAGGCATTTCATCTTAATCCTCAAGCAACGCATCTGCGTTTTGATTCTGTATCGAGGATAATGTAGATGTCTATGGGCCACAGCATCCACTTAAGGTGCTCATCAGGTGGACTGTGTGCTCCTTTGTCAACCTTATTCTATATTAAAAACAAGATATCTCCTTATTATTCTTTTTTTTCATCAGCCCACAAAGGTCCGCTGCTGGGCATGATCCTGAACCGTTAGGGAGGTATTTCCTCATCGTCACGCTTGCCAGACGGAATGATGATCGCAGTTCATGACGTTTCGCGCCCTTAATGCTGCTGTCCACCACTGATCTGGATAATTTACGTCTGACGTAAACGATGTTCTAGCGTCATCTATCGGAAGCCATGAGTTTTTAACTTCTCGCTAAGAAAATTGAAAACTTTTAAAAATCGAGAAATTATTGTGAATCTTGACGTTTAGACCCCTGAAGATTAAGATGGAAGTTACAAGTAAAAAAGGAGTCTTAGGTTTTCTACCCTCACAATATGAAATACATCAGTATTACGCTGCTATTTTACCCATTCACCATCATCATATAGCTGCGGTGTGGCTCTATCACATTTTTTTTACCACGAGATTCTTGTAGTATTCTTCATAAATGGGTAATATATTCTACTACGTTGCCATTACATTTATAAATACTTTAGGTATCATGTTCTGGTCAATCGACAACGACGACTTCCGCGGCAACTGCCACGGGAAACCATACCCTCTCATCGAGGCAGCTAAGGAAGCCTACATACTCAAACTTGGGTAAGTCACTAATAATATTCTTTGAATAGTAAACGACGGTTTCAATTTTCACACTGTATAAGTGTTCGTATAGCCTACAAATTATATTTATATTGTAACTAGCTGCTTCATGGGACTTCGCCCGTGTGTAATTTAGACTTAGAGTTTTAATTTTTTGCGCAAAACCCTAATTATTTTTCTAAATTAACAAAAGCTTAAGTTACTTCTTATAACATCACATGCCTGCTAGTGAAAGTCCCGTCAAAATCAGTCTAGCTGTTTCGGAGATTAGCCGAAACAAACACACGACAGACAGATAGACTGACAAAATTTTAAAAATTATGTCTTTGTTATTTAGAACCGTATATACCATATATAATATGCATTTAGTAAAAAGCTCTTATTTTGATTTTTTTAATTATCATTATTATTATTATATTACAAACAGACACAGATGAATATAAATTAATGAATGAGCTGGCAATTGTGAGTTGAAGTCGCCGAAAATAGGAGGGGGTGATCTATAGATAATTAATTATCTAGCAAGCTAGGGTGATTGATCACCGGTAAAACTTGTGCGGTGTGGCTTTCCTTATTATCTCCTTCTCCTTATACATTTTTAAATATATTTTTCTTATATTAATTATATAGCTTGAATGTATACTGGATTAGTACAGAATCAACGATGGAAGAATTTTAAAAAAGGTCATGTGTTAAAGCTGCCTTCTCTCCGTTTATCCTTTTATAATATTGAATTTTCAAATTATTCTTTTTCTCAGCTCTACTGATAACATTGTTGTATCGGAGAAGCCAAAGTCACGAGGCAAGTCTGGTAGTAAAAGGAGAAATCGACCAAGGACTTCGACCACTACCACAACCACAACAGAGAAACCATCTACAAGGTACAAACATAATCTCTCGCAATTTAAACGTTAATCACCGTCACCGGTCAATTATAGCATCATAGCTCATCAGTTTACCTGTCCTTCAGGTGAATAAAATTTTAAAATATAACTGGTATAAAATATCTAAAAGCCATTCGTATTATTTTATATACAGCCATAACAGTCAAATAACTAAATAGAGCACTAACTAAATAGTTGCATCGCGTTCGATGTGAGCAATAAATATAACGGATTTTCACGTCGTATTTAATTTACTTATATTTATACTTTTATTTTTTCGGTGCTTCGAGTGAGACAGATATTCAACGCCCGAACATTTTTGATTCGATGATAATAGGTAGGAGTGATTCTTAACTCAGAGGCTGCATACTTTCTATAGTATCGAGGCTACATTAAATAATTAATATCCTCGTAAAAATAAATAAATACTAGATTTAGATAAAGTTGCTGCGCTACCCAATGTGTATTGGAAAACTTCACATAAACATGAAAAAATATATTTCGTATATTTTTTGTTATTTATTAGACATGCAGGTGTCCTCACGATGTTTTTCTTCATCGCCGGGCTTATGATATAACACTTAACATTGCAATGAATTACATAAATATATATATATATATAATCAAATTAAATTACAGCAAGCGCTTAGCTTGAGCTACCACGGCTCTTATGTTTAGATACTTAAAAATAATTTTCAATTAAGTCTAAGTTAGCAATCTTATGAACCTGAATGAGAAGTTATTGATCCAACTAATTATACTGTTGTTTTAGGAGCAACAAACGCAAAAGTGGATCGACTGTAAGCACAACTCCATCGTGGAACATTATTACTCCCGAACCTCCAACAACTCCAGATCCAGGCTCAGGTAAGAAAGAACCAAAAGTAATTCAAATTAAAAATGAGAATTGTTTCGAAGTCAAAGTCAAAACTTTTTTTCTATCTAAGCTTGTTTAAAACTTCAATGAACGTCAGAGTTTTTACAGACCCTGAGAGGCACCCAGTTTCATTTCACGTTCCGATGACACTACATTATTTATAGCAAGCATTTAGATCAAGGGTGATATCGCGAATATCGTGGTATTTAAGTATATTAACCAAAATTTTATCATCACCACAGTGAAATACCTTTTAAAGTGCTCTTTCCAATCCTATAGAATATGTGACAATAATTTTACTTACTTCACTTTTGTTCATCTTTGATTGTTTAGTGATCTGTGATCGTTGATTATAATAAAGCTTTTATTAGCTAAGATCCGCCTATGAAATAAAATGCTGGGTCTTGCCTAGTTGGAAGACTTCCTCCCGCTCACCCTCAGTAACGTTCACTATCCCAGTCACCACTAATCCCAGCACCACTATTCCCAACACCATTACACTAAGAAAGACACACCACCGTCGATAATAAGACACGTGTTTCGCCTCTAAACCAGACATCTTCGGATAACGTAAGCTCTGCGGTGGCTAACTTAGCTACTTTATTATGCGGATCTTAGCTGATTAGTTTTTTAATATCTTTAATGTAATTTTTGATAAAACTAAAAAGCTGAAGTGCTAAATTGATTTTGCTTAAGGCTTGCAACACGGACACGAAACAGTAATTTGTAGGGTTTCTTCTGCTACCTGATTTATATACTGGGATAACCTTAATACGAGTATGTATCAATTGATTAGAAACTTACCACCGTCAATATTTCGAGAGAGAGATTATAAATCATCGCTAACATTGGGACTGTATCATTAAGAACTAATTTTTAAATCGTCAAATAAAAGTAATCCATGATATACTTTATAACCTGACTTAAGATAAAAGTGAAACAATTGCGCTATTTTTTATTTTATATATGTGATTTTTAATTTGTTTATGTTATATTTAATTCTAAGAATGACTTCTCAAGTGATTGAATTTTTTTAAAGAATATTAACAATGCTATAAACATTACTAATATTCCCCTTAACCACTTGTGGTAAGCTTAAAAAGCTTTTGCTTGCGAGTGGTTCACGCCAGTAGTCGAATGGTGGATTCGAACCCACGACCTTTTTGAGTTCGCGGTCCGCGCCCTGCCATTAGGCTACTGTCGCTTATAATTATATCAATTATCCTGATTAAGCTTAAAAGCGTTATTTTTAATTACAGATTTTAAGTGCACAGACGAAGGTTTCTTCCCTCATCCCCGGGACTGCAAGAAGTACTTCTGGTGTCTGGACTCTGGCCCATCTAATCTGGGCATTGTCGCTCACCAATTTACCTGTCCTTCAGGTGAATAAAGATAATATATAGATGTCTATTAAATGCACTATCGATTCAAAAAAAAATTATTTAATTTTTTTAATTTTGTACTTAAGTTAGATATATAAATAATGATTCACCGTTATTGCAGTTTTTGAAAATACGAGTACATAAGGCTTGGGCTTGGGCTAAGGGAGGCTTCTACTTTTATTTGAAATTATTCAAAATTGAATGTGATTTATTGGCAGCAACGTTTTCCCTACCGATCGACCCTTACGAAAGTCAGTTATAATAATGCACTACCGCGCATTTTCAATTTAAAAGATAAAAGGGACAGAATGTTTGAACTTTTTTTAATTAATTTTTCTTGACCACATGCCTATATTATTTATTCAGAACCTTCTCTGCAAATTTGGTCCCCTGTATAATATGCCCAAAAATTCTGAAAATTTGTGGCCTCCTACATGCCTCTTATGCGTCTACGAAAAAATCCGCCCATATGCAATGTGTTAAAAATACCCGATCCCAAAGAGGGTAAAAAGTACCGAAAATACATTTAACTATCTTGAATTTGCTTTAAATTCTGTACATTTTTAAATCTAGCAACACTGTGGTCAATGAAATTTCAATGGTATTTTTGAACGTGGCCGCCCAAGTCGCCTGTTTTGTCATGTAAGTTTCCCCAATGAAATTCTGCTTTATTTTTTTCGTTTATTGTTTATTTCGTGAAAAAAATTACATGAAAATAATACATTATACTTGACACCTTGTTACGGACACTTACTAATTGTATTATTCCTGAAATACTTTACCGATTTATTATATCTTAATTTCAACTTAGAAATTCCGAAGTTTCACTGCTTCGCAGTACTGGTGATCACAAAGTGACTCAGTCCTGATTGGCATTGAAAGTCTTGATGTGCTCGTAAACCCAGGCTAGGTTACAGCTTTTAATTATTTGTCTTTGTTACGATCTATTCAAAATAAGCTTAAACTATCTTGAAGTCATTTCCTTACTTTACAGTCTGTATAATTACACTATACTTCTAAAATCATATGTGTGCGTGAGTGCGCTTTTTTTTAAATAAATTAAAGATCATATTGGGTCGGTTTCTGTATCACTTGAATACTACATAGCGCTTCGTCTGTCTTTCTTCTTTGGTCTGAGTATAGAATGTATACTTATAATCGATTTTGTTTCCCAGGTCTTTATTTCAATAAGGCGGCTGACTCCTGCGACTTTGCCCGCAACGTGTTGTGCAAAACACCCGCTGATACCAAAAAAGCGCCCACTACGAAGGCCCCAGTGTCTAAAACCACAACAACAACCACTACCACAACCACTACAATAAAACCAATTCGAGTGAGCACCAAGAGCTCTGTGCTGTTTAGAACTACTTCTACCACTCCCGTACCTGAGGTATGGATAAAAATTCTTTGAGTTATATTAATAGTATTTTTAAATTTATCGTCACTATGATCATAATTATTATCAGCTTATGAGCTGCCAAGTACACTGCTGAAAATGAGCCTCTCCTGAAACATTGGTTGCTGTTACATCACCAGATATCTTGCACCTCTGACGCTGCTTTTCGTCTCTGATATCGGTATTTTACGAAGAGAGTTGAAGAACCGAAACGATGAGCAATTTCCGAAGCAATGGTTTGGGAAAAAGTTATGTATGTAAAAGTTACACATTGTTAAAATGGTGCCTCAAAAAAGCGTTTAATTTACAACATAATGTAGTCTCTAAAAAATATTTTTCAACAATTGCAATATCATTTTTAACTCAAACAACTTGCATTAACTGCACTGCAGAGTAGAATTTTTAACCACAGTTTATGGCTTTGCTGAATTTCAATAATCTACGAAAAACATTTTAATACTTAGTAGGAACATGTTACCAGTTATATTATGGTTGTAGCAAGAATTATGAGAGCGTATCGACCGGGGAGGGACTACATTCTTACAGAATATCAGCGTGAAATAGCAGCTTAATTTGTATGGTTAACGTAAAGAACTTTTTTACTGGCATTCCATCTTAGTAATCAGAGGTGACAGCTCATTTGTATTTTGATACTAAATCGAGAATAAATATACTACGGCATCCATTTACCATCAGACAGACTATGTTCCCTTTTTTATTCTTATTCTACTTAAAAAGCATACACTAAGAGAAACCTCTGTGATATACAGATATGCAGGTACCGAGATAATTCCTTAAACGTTGTTTTGCTAAAATCCGTACAACAGAATACCTACAATAAATAATGTACACAATTGTCTGCAGGAGATTGAGGAGTATGAAGACGAAGACGATGAAGAAAACGCGACAGACGACGCAGAAGATCCGAAAGTTATCAAAGAACTTATCGATTTAATTAAAAAAGTTGGTAAGTTGAAATGAAAATCTGAAAAACACGCGCGCAGAAGGTTTGCTAATAGCGTGATTAAGTCACGCGTTACTAGTAGTAATAGTTATGAGTAGACGAGCGTGAGACATGGACGGCGAAAGGGAGGAGTGTTCATCGGAAACCACATATTACCACATTTTAAGGTCCATAAAGTCCCACTCTACTTGTTCAAAAAATGTGTGTGGGATGTGGGGTGTGAGTGACAATGAGGAACTTTCCACAGTGGGGATAAAATTTTTATTATATGTCTATTGCTGAACATATGTCTACTGGCAAACTGGGGGAACAAAATCCCTCATATACATAGTATTTTTATTTGATATTTAAATAAGTATATATGCACCTTAAGGAGGCGTGGAACAACTGGAAAAGCAACTGGCCTTATCCGAGACTTCCATTACCACCAGTGGTGTTGTTACCAGCACTCCAACATCGATCAACAAGAGACTATACCAAAAAGTTTTGGAACGAGCACGGGGAAAGAGCAAGTAAGTTATCATATTAAACATAAATAAACCTGTGAAGGTTAATAAAGTTTTTACAATTAACGATGACTCAATTATGATTATTATACCATACATGGCTTTATAACGAAATATAGGTAAATTAGTTTGATTCTCTTTAACCCGCCCGAAATTTGTTTAACGTACCCATTGACTTATATATTACCATTGAACCTACCTGTAATTTTCGACGGGCGTCAATTTTCCGTACGTATTTTTGTGACAGTTTAATTCTCAGAGATTAATTATGTAATACAATTACTCTACAGTTTTTTTAACAAGTGTTGCCTATTTTTAGGTATAATACAAATAGTGTCACGGATAGTTATTCGCAGAACAGTCGTCGTGGACCTCAAAATGAAGGTCTCCAACCATCGTCGGACCAAGATAGACTGCAGAGAAAGGAAAGACCTCAGTAAGTACTCAAACACGGTATTTTCTTCGTAAATAAAACAACCTTGAGTTCAAACCTAATGCAAAAAAACTATTATAATATATTTTACGAATTTTAAGTTATTGTTGCATCTGATATTTTCTGATTGTATTCATTTTTTGTCTGCTGAGATCAATAGACGACAAGGAGGCTTAACACCATTTACACATTCATAATAGCGTTTCAATAGTCTACTATTGACTAAAGGGCTCCCCATAATTTGCCTCATAGCCCTCCTACGGCAATGGGCACCACAACTTTTTATTATAATGAGTTGTTATCAGGAAGATTCTGTTGCTTATATCCCTTTAAAGACCAATAAATTATAAGTGGCAGTGGATAATATGACAAGGATAAATAGTGTAACAATAATTAATCTATGTGGAAAATTACTTGCGAATTTAATTGTAATTACTATACCAGCTTAATCACAAAATAAATTACAGGTATGTAACGATCAACCGATCCCGTTCATCTTCAACAACTACATCAACCGAAGAGCCTCTGGAAAGCGAGGAAATTTACGAGGAATTAGAGTCTAGCGAGCAACAACTGACCAGAGGCAGAGCTGTTGACCAAACTAAAGTAGCATCAACCGCCAAGCCACTACAATATGTCAATATTCGTCGATCAAGGCCATCAACGATAACTGTTTCCGACACTGTGGATGACTCAGCTTCTAGGTATGTTTTAAAGGAACTTCAAAACAAGACATTTCTTATGTATTTCTTAAAATATGTTGAAAGTTTTAGGCATAAAATTACACATACTTATATTTTTCTTTCGATTTGTGTCTCAAAAAAATTCCTAAACAGCTTACCTAACATTTTATCGACTGCTGTAAGCAACGAAATTATTTGGTGAAATTAATAAGCTTACAATAAAGAATATATACTATATATATATATATATATATATATATATATATATATATATATATATATATATATATAACATAACGTAACATAAATACTCACGCCTGTCACCCAGAGGGGTAGGCAGAGACTACGGACTTCCATTTGGCACGATCCTGACATACCTCCTTCGCCTCCTTTACATCCATATATCTACGCATACATGCTCGTCGGTTAAGGGTACTTCTAACGTGGCCCATTTTCAAAATATCGCCAATTTGGTCGATAAACTTTTTCCTAGGGCGTCCCTTCCCGACTCGGCCATTCACATCTGCCATATAAATTTGCTTTGTCACTCTTTCCTCATTCATTCTTTCTACGTGACCAAACCACCAATTATATATATATATATATATATATATATATATATATATATATATATATATATATATACTAATTATATATTATGTATATATATATATTCACTGCAATTGCAACATAAACCAGTCCTTTATGTATAACTGGATCAAATTGCATTAAATTTTAATAAATAGCATCATGATGGTTTATTACATCACTTTCAGAAATGCATTATTTGAACGAGTGGAGCCGTATGTATCCGTATCTGAGGCAGTAAACTCTTTGGATATTGCAAGTGCAAGAAGAGAGAATATTCTTGAGTACGTTACAATAAGGAGAAACAGTCCAACCACCGAGACTACAACATCACAGTAAGTCAAATACTTTTATAATTTACTAATTCAAATTTAAAATAAGTTCAATTAAAAAAAATTCTGAACATAATATTTGTTGAGTAAAGTGATCGATACAGTGCTGATACTGTTCACAGATATCAAATTTCGGAAACAGTACTTGAATCGGGAGAATCTGATTTAGAAAGAGAAATTACTTCTTCGTCATCGCAACCAAAGTATACTTCAATATTGAGAACTCGTTCAACTACTCTATCACCGGTTGAAGAGCCTAGTAGTGCTGAGCCTACTACGATTCTCTCTGGGCAAATATCATCGCTGTTAAATTCGCCTACGGCCGCTGAAATACAATCACCCGAGTTTGCACCATCGATAACTACGGCACCTGAGGCAGTTGAAGTTTCTACTACAACTAGTCCCTCTCCTGAGCTACCTACAACTACTGTGAATCTACCAACGAGTACAACCCGCGCTCCATCAACTACCACATCTCGTCGAAACGGGCTGAGGCGTCGTGGATCCACTACTGCTTCCAGCACTACAACACCATCCCCAATATCTACAACTCAGGTGAGTTTTAGGAATTATAATTACGTACGTCGTCGTCGTCCATTATCGACACCAAACGAAATATCGTCGGAATCGGAACAAACAGGTTTTTCTAAAAACATTAGGTCAAATACACCAAACAGCCGCGAAGCTAATGAAGAAAAACTGGGTAGAGAAACTGGACTAAATACAAGAATACGAAGTAAGTACAGGTTCTCGGTAGAGGACTCATTGCCAGCTGCAGCCTCACCTATAATAAGAGGTCCAATTCAGCCACAATTTAATAAAGATGAGGAACTTACCTTAACATCCATTGATTTAGACAGTCAAATATTTGTAAGAAAACCAACAATAAATGATAATCTCTTTGAAGAAACTGCTTCTACTCTAAGTAATGAAGAAGAAGATAGTGAAATATCAACTACTACCGTTGATGATAAACGTCCAAGTATTTTATCTAGAGGCAGTGGGAGATATTCTACTTCTGCAGTAAATGAACCTTTTGGATATACAACGACTGAATCTACCCTTACTCAAAGACGTCCTATATTTGCGAGATTTACTCCTCGTCCATTTACTAGATCTACATCAAGACCTTTCACAAACAGTCAAGACATATCACCAAGAATTCCTCAACGAGTACCATTTGGTAGATCTAGACTTTCATCAACAGTGCCTTCTAATATTCAAGGATTACAGGCTCGAAGATTAACATTTCCGTCTAGAACGTCAACCACAACAACCACGACTGAACAAGCTTTGGGAATTGATGACGAGGATTTAGAAAATAAACGTGACGATATATATCTTTCAGAAAGTACCATAGAAGAAAAAGAACATGAGGATAATAAGGAAGACGAAGATACTGATGACAATTCGACTAAAAATACAGAAATAGAAAAAATAACAACTAGTGGATTTTCTGACATGGAAATTCAAAGTGAAACGGTCACAAATGATTATGGCCCAAGAAAGTTTAAAGTAATAAGACGAAGACCAATAACATCCACAATTTCAACTGAAACAACTCCAGTTTCTATTGTTACAACTCCTGTTGTAACAGAAATAACACCAATTGTTCCGAGAAGACGTAAAATAATTAGAAAAAAATTAATATCTACTGAAAACAAAATAGAAGTAACTACAAATAAATCCAAAAATACAATCGATAAAAATGAAATAACAAGTTTAACTAACTACGGTGAAAAAACGAAATTAACAACAATTACTACAACAACTACCAGTGGCCTAGAGGGCGAAGAAATACAAACAGAAGCAAAATTTGAATCAAATAAGCAGCAACCAAAACTAAATGAGTACAACAAAAATCTTGAGTTTTCTCTGCAAGCAGAAACTGATGAGGAAAATAAATCAGATGAGCTAAATATGAAAGATGATTCGGAGCATGACCAATTTTCAAAGACAGATAAGCAACAGTTTAATGAAAGTTCATCTTTTGATACTAATGAAAATTCTGAAGAAGAGGCAACAAAATCCTACTCTAAGGCAGATCAAGATCAAATTATAAAAAACGAAACTGACAGTGGCAATATAAATAAAATGAGATTTACAGTTAAAATGAGCGCATCAGAAGATAACGTTTCACATAAAAATGACACAGGAAACGATGACACGATTAATAGCTCTAAATCACCAGAGACAGAGAAACATTTGGAAGATTTGCCTGAATTGGACGAAAAACGAAATACAACTCAAATAAATTCAACACATAGTGAAATAATAGATAATAATAGTGAAATTTTTTCAGAAATAAACGCAGAGGAGGAGGATCGCAACAGAACGTTGCAATACGTTTCTACTGAATCAAAAGAAAAATCTGTAATTGTAGAAATATCAAATGATAAGGATATTGATTTATCCGAAACTCCAGTATCTTCTGAATTTAATATGACAAAAATCAATAGCACTAGTGAGATTACATCAGAAACAACAACCACAAGCACAACGTTATCAACGTCATCATCAATTCGAACACGATTGCCTTACAGACCACCAAAGCGATTATTCACCTCCACGACAGAATCTACATTACCATCTAGTAGCAAAACTTTCAGCCGGAAATACAATCCCGGTGCTTATACAAGTCCTGCAACTGTAGAACGGGAGCCATTCAGACCAACTGTTACTCGAAGGCCGTTATTTTCACGTACTTTTACAAGGAGACCTTATACTACTCAAACTACAAAGAAAATAGAAGAAGATGTATATTCTGACGAAGAACTATTGGATGAAGAAACTCTTGAGGAAGAACCTGAAAATCCTTTCGTTATCGTTCCACCTAGTCAACTATTCACAAGAAAACCTGAACCAGAAGAGGAATATGAAGATGAAGGAAATGAAGATGAAGGAAATGATGATGAAGGAAAAGAAGACTTAGAAGAAATACCCGATGATGAGATAATATACGATGAAGAACAGCCTCAAACTAGTACTGTTAGTAGATTCACAACAACTAGAAGACCTCTGTTTAAGCCGAGAGTGGTGATCTCAAACACATTTAGAACATCAACAACAACAACTGAGTTACCGAGACGTCAGTTTGGCAATAGCCAAAATAAAACTATCGTATACAACAGGTTTGGATCCATCAAGCCTGTAAACGAAACGAAGAAACGCGTACAAAATGTTCCCATAGGTTACAATACATCAAAACCGAGACAAAATACACTTTTCCAAAATAGTACGACAAAAACGATTTCAACGAAAATTGAAGAAGAAAAAATTACAACTACAAATTTTTATACCAGTAATGATGACATCACTACTACAGATCACGATGAATACTTATCAGTAACAGAAAATACCACTTCTTATCTTGAGAATAATAATGTATCCAATGATAACGCTACTACGAACGTTGTTGAAATTGAATCTGTAACAATACCAAAAGAAATCACAAATTATACAGATGAATATTTAGAAAATACGGAAAAATCTGTTTTATACGTAAGCACACAAGATGTATCCTCAAATGTACAAACTGAAGCTATGACGCAAAGCTTCCCGGAAACACAAGTTACAACATTAGCTACACCAAAGCATACTAATGCAGTTACCGAAAGTCTGCCTGAAACTACAACCACTACACCGACAATATCACCGATTATTAAAACGCAATACAATAAATTATTTTCCATAAGTAGAGTCGTTGAAGTGTCATCTAAACAGGACAAACATCATTTGAACAAAAATAATGAAACTACACTTATTGAAGAAGGCCCTATCGTAATTGAAAAGAAACCCTCTATCGATAAAATTGGTGAAGTGAGTCGTTTCAGTCTTATCAAAATAGTAGAAGATGACATTCCTATTTATTTAACTAAACTTGGACATGTATATCCTGTAGATAATCCCCCGAATAACCCCATACAAATCGATGAAGGAAGAAATGCTAGGGCCTTATTAAACTATAATCACTATCCTAAAGAAAGCCTTGTTGCTTCAGAGAGTATGAATGAAGCCTATAGACTTATCAATAAAGTTACGAGCCCTCGTAAAGAAAGCATGCTTAAGCGTGAAGTGAAACATACACCAAACGATGACTTTTTAAGTTATATTAATGAAGATAAGAAAACTGAAAAGGCAGGAGAACAGTTCCCTCAGTGGCTATTCGTACCAGCGGCTTACGAGGACGAGCAAAATAAAAAAGCGAAGAATTTTAAAATAGTGTCACCACACATTGTATTGAGTAACTTATCTACGTTGCCTTTAGAAGCAATATTAAGCAACGAAACTCCCGTTATAAGTAATAAAGGAAATGGAGATAACGAAAATAATCCTTTTTATGTATACTCAGCAACTGTGCCAACCAAAAGAGAAGAAATTAATACAGAAAAAACAGAAACAGAGAAGCCTGTAAATCCCAGTAAAGTAGTATCAGAAGAGCTTAAAATAATATTTGATCAGACTATGTCAGAAAATAAAATGAATAAATCGATAATAATGGCAAGCACGCAAAGATCTTCTTCCTTAATTGGAACAAATGAAAAAATAACTACAAGTCATAATACAGAACTTTTAAATAAAAAACCAGCCGTTTTAACAACGAATGACGCAACTGCTACTACAACATCTGAATTGCCAATAACAACAGAATTGGAACAAACAGAGTCAAGTACGGTGAAAACATTTCCACTCGGTACTAACGGACTAAAGTTTCCGTTTGTAAGAAAACCAATTATTAAGCCGTCTAATTTAACCAGATTATCGACACTACCGAAAACAATGAAAAAAATCAATCTCGGCATCAAATCAAATTCTATTCAGAAAACGAATATAACATCTACATTTACTCCGAGTAAATTTAGATTCTCCTCCAATAGAGTACAAAATGTACCAGTAGATGTAAGAAACAAAGCTAACATTGGTAAATTTATATCTAAAACTTTTACTACTGAAACTCCAAAGTCGACAACGGATAGGAAAACATATACACAGCCAAAGAGGCCAACTTTCCGGCCAGCTTTTGTATCAAGAAGAGGTACAACAGGAACCCCAACATTAAGGGGAGACTTTTTGTAATATCAATAATAATTCTACTACTTGCTATTGAGTCCATTTCTCTATCAGTTTTCACTTGGCTGGTTTAATACTTCTTAATGTGTTGTTTGATTACATGGCCTCTCTTCCAAGTCCGATAGCGATTTAGTGTCAGATATCACATTGATTTTGTGTTTTTTAATAACGGAGATTGCTTGTAAATATAGAAATATCTCTAAAGTTTTTTCACAGTCATTTTTATAAAATTTTATAGCTTTAACGTAGGTTTAAATGTTTAACGAGAAAATTTGTTCGTACCAAAAATGTATATTATTCATGTTAGTTTATTTGGCGAGCAAAAACTTTCGGAATCAAACTGTCATAGGTTACAATTAGTTTAATTATTTAAATTATATTATAACTGCTACTAACATAGTAACTATAATCGTTACCAATAGTAGATTAATGTAAATATGCGTGAAAAGATATAGGGCATATTATGTGTATGTGGATAAACTTGTATTGTAATATAAATCAAATAAAGAATTACAATAAATTGGTAGTGAAAATAATTTTATTATTTCTACTTAATACAACAAATGTTTTGAATGATTTGACACGATTTATCGTATTATCAAAATTGTGTATCTTCTGTCTCTTTCTGTGTGAAAACTTGAAGATATAAGCTGTTGAAGAACTAAGGTAAGTAAGTTACTTACATTTACTTTTGCCTTACCTCATTTGATCAAAATTATGGCTTTTATTTTGAGGAATCAATTCCTTTATATAACCTTGACTTAATTTAACTTAATTTTATTAAAAAGTCTAACTAAAAATTTATTATTGCTTATTGAGTTTCAAATGGAATTATTATTGCATCAGTTTATTTAACCTGTACTCTTGGTTTTCAAATAAAATTTTCGTACATTAGGTATAAAAAAAATTTGCAAACGTCGTAGCGTTTTTAAGCCGAACTTTTCAACCAATTATCTCCGATCAATTGTTCCGTTTCTCATCGACTGCAGCGCACAATAGATGTTGTGTGTTTTGCAATATCAATCAATTAGCAGTTTTTCCGATGCCGTATTCAACCATTGTGAGTTTTAACTATTCTTTATAATTGAAATTTTACAATTATTATTAGTATATCTATTGCACTGATTATAAAATAACACTGTTTTTTTATTGTAGGATTGTTACAATATCAATGGCGGTAAAGTGCTAAAAACTATTTTTATTTGGCATAGAGAAAATGTCATATTGTGACACTACAATAGTCATTTACCAACAATCGCTTTCTTTAAAAATGATGCATAAACATGTTATGCCCAGTTTATTTAAATTATAGTAATTAGAAGTAACTAGTACAAAACTGCAAAAATAATAGTGGGAATTATATTTGGTAACAAAATAATTTGAACGTTACGCATATCACATAATTACTCACCGTGTAATCAGATAATTTACTATGTGTAACATGGCTATTAAAGCGTTTAATCGAATAGTTAAATTCAGTAATGACCTACAAGAATGTCCGCCGTATATGGTCAGTGTATTCAATATTTAATTAAGTAAGTAAAGTTATAGTTTAAATCATGCTAATTCCCCTTCTCTTTGCCGATCCAAGTGGTAAGGCCCCGTTCGCGTCGCCAAATTCACAATTCGCAGTAATAATGACTGCCGTATGATAATATTTATTATTTAAATAGCCTTGCAAGCTAGGTATAGGTTACTATGGTTAGATCATCACTGTGAACGCAATTAGTAAAGTCTGAGACGGCAAAAAACTTATATTCTTAAAAAGAAGACTTAGACTGGGTGCTGTGTATATTACGTTTAGGTTGAAGGAAATAAAACACCATTTAAAATGTACAATGTTTATTTTATTTATAAATTAAGTTATGGTGTTTAGAAAAAACCCATAAAATGAATGATGAGAAAAGATGTTGGGCGCGTATATCATTGTTTCACGGGAATAGCCTAGGATTAAGATTATTTTTTAATATATTTAACATAATATAGATTATTTTTCAATTAAGCATTTAGGAAAGATCTGTAACTATATTATGATAGAAAATTATTGGATGTATCCCTTTTAGCTTTGAACAAATTGCCAAGAAACCTTTATATGTGGAAGGGTCACGTTGCAGCTGTATCATGGTCGTAGCACGGACGCGTCGGCTCGACCGGGGAAGGATCACGCTCTCACAGAATGTCATGTTGCTTTCTTTCGTATAATATATATGAATATAGAGAACCTGAGACCCTTTTTACTGGAAACTTAGGGGTGACAACGCATATTTCATCGTTTAAACTCTTCAAACTATTTCTTGTAATAAAGCTGGTAAGGTCACGTGCGCTCGTTGTATAGTATCAAATTACTTCGGAACCATTGCGGATTTCTAGTCATGTCGTTAACACTAAATGCCGCGATTAGTAATCTATACTATAATTACAAAATTGACTTAACGTGATATCATTTTAAAGCCAGAAGTTGTAAACTGTTTTAATGTCAATTAATGTTACACTTTGTCGTTTTTAAAGGAAATCCGATAAATATTATCACTCTTATGAAAAGGTCTTGCAAGGCATTTGGCTATTAATACTTTCTTAATTCTTATGCAATTCAATTCAGATAAATAGAAGATTTTACACGCGGTAGAGCCAAGATGCAGCTTATTATGGTTTTCTGAGGGGTGATAATCTTCCGATCAGAAGGTGTTTCTAGTTAGGACTGTGTCAGGTAATATATATACTTCTTACACAGTGTCGTCATATGTGAAAAATTGCATTTTCAATAAAAGTTTTTCGGTTACCAAAATATATAAATATATATAATTAATATATATTATTTATGTATATAATTAATATATAATATAATTTTCTTATATACTTTATAAGCACATTTTCTAAGTCATTGAGCGCGTTCGCGTATAAGAACATTTTTTAAGTTATGGAGGGTGTTTGTGTATGGATTGCTTGTATGGGGGAGCTGCCATACGCGAGGTCGTACATATGTATATGGGGTGGTCAAATCATTATCGTAGAAAGGTCTAAATCATTATCATATAAGGTCTGGGTTGAAGTCCCACATATTAAAGACATATAATAAGTAGTAGTAAAGTAAGGTGTATGATAACATAATCAAGGTTATTTTGCAATAACCGGCCAAATTTACAGAGAAGGTTCAGAATAAATAACATAGGCAAATGGTAAAGAAAATGTAATTTAAAAAAATATCAAACATTCTGTCTTTTTTATTTTATAAATTCAAAATGCCAGGTAATGCATTATTTGAACTGATTTTACTGCACACGCACACATTCACAAGGGTCGATCGCTAGGCAAAAACGTTGTTGCCTATAAATCACATTCAATTTGGGGCAATTTCAAATATAAGTAGAAGCCTTATTTACTCGTATTTTCAAAAACTGCAACAAAGCTATATTATTATTTATATATTTGAACTTAACTTTAAAATTTAGCTACTCTTATATATATATATATATATATATATATATATATATATATATATATATATATATATATATATGTATGTATGTATGTATATATGTATATATATAACAATGCCTCAGTATTCTTTCTATTTTCCTTTCTAATTTTTTATACATTTTCAACTCTCTTATATTCTTCTCTTATATATTTACGAAAGTCCGTATATTTTCATAATAATTAAACTTTCCCACCATGAAATCTGTCAAAAATTTCCCCTCATTTCTAACGATAGCCTCGACGTTGTGGTAGATAAAGTGTGGAAGCTCTCATTCATTGCTTCATATAAGGATTGTCGCCATTGTTGCCATAGTTGGCAGATGGATTGGCAACCGCAGTTTTTATTGTTTTATGTTGATTTTAGAAAGAAGCTTCTGCCAGTCTCCTGTTTCAGTGTTCCTCCGTCGTAAAGATTATATGTGGGATTATATGTGGTAGTTAGTTTCAATCTTCTATTATATTTGAACTTATTCATTAAGACAACATACACGTTTACAACATATCGTGGCGTATTGGTAATTATACGTTATTTTTTAGTCGGATTCCTTGTATAATATAAACGTTGGATTTGTAACTCTCCCCAACGGAAACCCGTTACTTCCTGTCAGAGTGAAGATAAATTCTTATAACATTATAAAAAGTACTAGACTGTTGCTTCTTCTTTAGCACTCTCTCACAAGGCTCCAAGCAATCCTCGCAAGTACACGCACACGCAATGCAATTGTAGCTTGATAACCAGTTTGTAAGAATGTGTTTACACATTGCATACATTGGTTTCATATCCATAACCTTGTTTAATACCTTCCTCCACGCCCTAACATGTTCTTACGTTAAATTAAACACATATATTTGTTTCGAACTATAAATTATAATAGGTCGGGGAATAAGTTTCTTCGTATTTTGTTTGTATAAAATTGATCCCTTTGATTTTACTATTTGTATCTGACTGGTTTTATATCAATACATTAAGAAAAATAAAAATAAGAAGTAGAAAACACTTTCCCGCTATTTTTCAATTGTTTTTCTGTCTGCTAAAATGAGTGAATCTAATGAAGAAATTCTATACATTCTGAAGTTTTATTACAAAAAAGGGGAATAGGCGACTCAATATCAAGAAGTACTCAGTAGAAGTTAATGGACCTAATGCAGTCTGGTAAAAGTAGCACAAAATTGGTTCAAGCGTTTTCAGTTCAAGAATTTTGATGTCAAATATGCAACACGTTCTGGTCGCCCTCAGACGCATAAAGTAGATGCCATTTTTTAAAAAACGGAGCAAGATCTTCATATGAGTAGTTACGACATAGTCGACGCATTGAGGATTGACCAAAAAACTGTTTTGACTCATTTCGAAAAGTTCGGTCACACAAAAAGCTTGATATTTGGGTACCACATTAGCTCACTGAAAGAAACCTAATGCATTGTGTACTCATTTGCGATTCTCTATTGAAACGTAACGAAATCGAACTATTTTTGAAAAGATTGATCACCTACGACAACAACGTACGAAAATATCTGATTATAATTTTTTT